CTGCCAGAAGCAACTCCAGACAAGTGTCTACTCAAGTACTACATGACAATTAATGCATTTCTTTGCTAAAAATGATGCATAGAAAGCTCGGTACAGATGGTTAAAAATATAATAAATGCTTGAAAAACTATGTCCTGCAGCAGGCAGTTGCATTTTATTAGTCCTCAGCTGGGCAGAAATTTCAGCAACTTTTAATCAGTTAACTGGTAATGCAGATGCTGGCTTGAAGCATACAAATTGTGAAGCTCATCTATTTTCTTATTATCTACTTTCCTTCACTGGCATGATTCAACTGCAAGACGCCTTATAGATGCTAAATGACTTGTCCATTATCAAATCAAAATGCACTTGAACGAACCCAGAATCACGGGATGCCCGGGTCATGTTAGTACCACTTCGGCGATATCATGATTAGGTGCTAATTATTAATCACATCATCTAACACACAGTAACTAACAGTTGTGGAACTGTACATATCATGAAACAGGACAATGACTTTGAGCAAACAACAAAGGAAAATTACCTTTCTAGTTTGAGTTATTCCTCCATCTCCAGGAACTATGACCAGTTGCTGGAAGAAAAAAGAAAACATTAGCCTCAACCAGTGTTGAATCAACATCACTTCGATCCAAAAACCATTATATCCACCTGAGGTTGCCATCCAAGTTCATCAGGGCAACGAAAAGTGGCCTCATTTACTGCTTGCTGTTCAATGGCAAATTTCAGTGAACCACTATTTACACCCAGGTGAAGCTGAAAAAAGTAAAGTAGGACTTCTAAATTGCAAAATCTTATACATTTCTTACAAAAATATGAGGAAAAAATAAATTAGAAATAAAACAAAAGACGAAGAAGCCACATAAAATCAGAAAAAAAAAAAAAGGTGGCTAAATTGAAATCTCTCAAACATCAAGTTGTTAAAATAAATTCAAATTGATAAGTGCAAATAAAAGTATGACCCTCAGTTCTCGAAATCAAGAGCAATGTCTAAACTGACCCAAACAACTCGTTCATCACTCAAACTATCGTCCACAGGGACCACAGACTCCAAGGCCTTGTAAAGCATTGGAAGTGCACCGTCTCCAGCAGTTTCAAGAACTAGGCAACTTCCTAATTTGACACCAGCGGGCAATCCTCTCTTTTCGACATAGCTTCTTAAGTTATTGACAATAAACTCGGTAGGATTCTCTGCAACCCCTTGAAATTTCTTGAATCCCGTCACATGAATTGTTACTGTCTGTTTTGTCCCCTCGGATCCCATTGCTTCCTTTAGGACACACAGACAATTCCCTATTCTCGAAAAGCGTTACCTGCTCATAGCAACAATTTCGATCAACAATCACAACTACCAGCCACCACAACCCACTTATACTCTCCAAAACAAGATTTAGAAAATTACATCCAAATTATATCAAACCAGTATAGATGCACCGAATGCATGATACCGAACGACTTACACAAACCGAAAGCAGAAAACCAGGAAAGTAAGCATCACGTGTAATATATCAAGTTTGCATCAATTTAATAATTACTCAGAAAAATATGTTTCCGGTCTTTATTGAAGCACCCAAAAGTTTAATAGGGTAAAAGGAGAGTTGGCACATGGCTTTCCTCATATCGTATCAATTTGCTATCTGTATTTGTGTCTATATTTAAACAAGAGGCTTGAATTTCCCAGGCTTCATCTAGTCTGAATCCTGAGCTGACGTCCTTGATAGAGCGAAAAACGGACTACCATCTCCAGTTCAAGGGATAATAGCTTGAATTAGATCACACAATTCACTCGCTACCAGTAACACTTAAGAAATTACCATAATCAGAAACTAAGATGATAGCAGAACACATTAGCAATTAGAATTCAAAGCATACAATAGACTACTAAGCCCAAAAAAGAAGGCCTACCCGATACTACTACTTATCAGCTGCATAATAAAATCCAGTGAATTTGCGACTCTTTGGAGTCATGCAAATATGGTATGGCGAAATAAATAAACACGAAACCGCAGCACTAATCAGAAAGACGTCACCAACCCAGGTGGTCATTATATCAATATACGAAGAGTTGAGAGTTTTGAGGATATATTAGCATTCAAAATAGGAATTACCTTGAATTCTGCTAATATTCCTGGAGGCGTGAGATTGCCGTATCCTGAGAGAAGAGCAATGGAGGAGAAGCTCGTGTGGTGTCGCTGTGGTTGTTTGTTGGCTGCTAAACGGCAGAAAATGCAGCTAACCGTAAACACGTCTTTGTTCGCTAATTACAAATGTGCCACGAAACTTTTGTCCGTTGCGTTCGAGTCTGGATTAAGATTGACAGTAGCTTTTGCTGGCAGCAGCACAGAAACAACGGGCGGCTACGTCACGGCCAGTGACGGAGCCGTGACGAAGCCAGGATTTTTTTTTTTTTTTTTTTTTTTAGAAGGGTCAACATTTTTTAATATGCTATGTTTAAAATAATTTTCAATCATTTAAATATATGACATTTAAAAAATCAATTTTAATTTTAATTATAAATATATATAAACTTTCATAAAAAAACTAATATTATAAAATATTATGAAAAATCAATTTTATTTCACGCATATATTTATATACTATAAATAAAAATTTTCAAAACTTAAGGGGCTATGGCTCCCGTCAGTCCCCCTTGGCTCCGTCATTGGTCACGGTCATCATCCATCCCTCCCCGGGTATTTTTCTGAAACAAACAGAACACAAGGCGATTGTTCCACGAGCTGTTGAAGGGTCTGTTTGGCATTGTTTTAGAGGGGTGTTTTAGGAGGACAAAATTTTGATAAAATACTACCTACACTAGTAGTGTTTTAGTTTTTACCACCCACAAGTTTTAAAATAAAGCAAAAACTGTTATATTAAATAAAAGGTTTTGGTGGTGGAGGTAGATAGTGGGGGTGGGTGGTGGAGGTTGCCAATGATATAGGTGGTGAACAAGGGGTATTTTGGAAAAATAGGGGGCTACGTTTGGATTTGCAATTATTTCAAAAAATTGTTCTTGTCTTTAAAGAAGAACACACTTCCTGTTAATCACAGTCAAGTTAGGCAGACCTACATCGTCTTTGCAACTGTTGACTCAATTGTATTGTATTTGGAACCTGAAAACTGAACCCAATTGTATTGTTGCCTTGTTTGGAAGTCAAGTTTTTTGTCAAGTTTGTCTGTTACAAGTTTTTTAAAAATTTTAGCTACAGTATTCTCAAAAAATTTTTTAAAACTTCTCCAGTAAGCTACAGTAAAGTTTTAGACAAACACCCAAAAAACTCACATTCCAAACGGGGGTACCTGTCAACCCAAGGATGTTTGGTGTTTTCGACTAATATATATAGAGCGAGAGAAGGGGTTTGACGTAAATAAATTGTGTTATTCAATATGTTTTAATTAATTTACCCTTATTTCTAAAAGACAATTATATCATTTTAATTACCTATCTTGTACAACTCTTTCACATTAAATTAACTGTCACTTCCCTGACAGAATGCTACCACTCCTCTAAATCAAAAAAAAAAATTGAAATCAAAAAGAGCCGAGCTGTTCCATATATCACAGACGTTTCCTCCTAGTCTGTCCGGGGTATTATTTCTCACACAACTAGTCTGTTTTTTTTTCCTTTCCCGCTACGTCTATTCAAGTGCATGCGTATGGAGACCAATTAAAATGGCTTGACACATTTTTGTGGGTAAAGGTCGGAAGCAAGATTTGATCCCTGACTTCCCACCAATATTGGTGGTGGTCATTGAGTTAAGATTTATGACGAGTGTGAAGTATTGAGAAGTATTGTGAGTTTTTTTTTTTTTTTTTGTAATTGAAATCTTTTTATTTTTTTCAAGCAAGCTTTTGAGAAATCACTTATCACAAGGACCAAAAAGAAATTTGGGCTGAAATAAAGGGAAAAAGAGTGGTTTGTAATTTGTTTTTCTTTCATTTACATGACTCATGATAATCAGCATTAATTGTTAAGTTACATTTCATATTTACCAAACGGAAGCTTTGTGATCAAAAGAAAAACATTAGGGGACAAAATCATAAATTTGTAGGACTTCGGGGCGGTGGCCCCCTCTCGAATCTCCATCCGTCCTTTGCCTGTAGCCTCCTCATGCCCGTTGCATTACTTGCATTGCGTAACTTGCAGCAGAAAAGGTGTACGAAAATTTCCGTCCATATTCTCAAATAGTTGCCTCTTTCTTCCACCATTTTCATCCCCTTACTATTCCAGGTCAAAATCCTTCCTTCTGGGTCATCTTTCCTGGCTTTCTACTCATCTTCGGTCTTTCTTTCTGTTTTTTTTGCTGCTTAATAGGTAAATCACGCTTTTGAACTGAAGCTTAGCAACAAAGGTGGCGATCATACTTTATGGCCTTCTGTTAAATTTTCGGCTTTTTTATGCAAAAAAGACTCCGAGATGAGTTGTGGGTCTCAAAATGAAGATTTAAGCATCGTTTCGGTGGAAAAACAATGGGCCAGGTGTACAAGAAGGCGTGGTTATTTAGATGTTGGTTTTTAGCCCATCTCGAATTTTCAGAGATATGGGTGAACTTAAAGGCTTTAAAACATGAAAATGAAAGAAAAAGCATGCATTCCATTTGGGTCTCTGGAAATCTGAAAAAACAGAGAGTTTCATACAGTTTTAATTAGAACATTTGTATGTCGGCCAAAAAAGTAGATAAAATGAATGGGAAGCTAGTGACTTTTTCGCTTTTTTTTTTTTTTTTGGTGGCTTGTAGAATGCTTGATGTGTTCGGTGTATGTCCAGAAAAGAGTGTGATGAACTCATGAAGCTGCAAAACATTTTAGAATTTTTTTTTACTTATTTTACTTGGGCAAAAGAAACTCTGTTCAAGTAATGATCATTTTTTCTGCTTTTCTTTTTCTTTTCCCCCGAGTTTCAGCTTCTTTTTTTTTTTGGTTAGTGCCCATTTAGCTGATTTTTACGTATGCCTGTAAGAATAGCTTAGTACCGTGTTAAGAGGCATTTGCCTCTCCTTTGTATCCAAAAAAGAATAGCTTATTAAGCAAGAGTCATCAGGGAAGAATCTAATTTTTAATGGCCCATAACTATGAATGTTTAGAAGTTGCTTTGGAGAAACATTAACCTGATGTCTACTGTGTACTGACTGAATGCATTGTTTAGAGAATTAGTGGGATTTACATTTAATTATTGGATTTCAAAAAATTTGGTTTACCTTTTGATTCTTTAATTACTGACCACTGATTGAGTCAAGTATTGGCCGTTTGGATCTTTGATAAAAAATGAAACTATTGATCTTTCAAGCTTGCCTTTTCTCCCGTTCCATTGAAGTTCTAATTGTTTTCATTTTTTACTATGAATTTTTTATTTACTTTGGATCTGACATTGAAGCTTTTTCAGTTCCTAGATGTGCATGTTATAGTCCTTGTAACTTCAAATTCTTTTCAGTTCCTGGCAAAACTTTTTCGGTTTATAGAGCTTTTTACTCTGTTACAAACTAATATTTGGCTATATTCTTTTGCACAGACTGTAATTCTTCTAAGGAAATCCAAATTACGGTTAAAGATGGTAAGCTGAGCCTATATCTTGTTTAGAGAACACCTACGTGGGCAGCTTTTACCATATTTTATCTGAATGCTTGATTATTTCAGGTGTGAGTTCATTACTTATTAATTACTTGTGCTTTTCTAGATTTTTTAGCACACTATCAGCTATTCCAAAGTTAGATTGAATGGCGAATCCTCTTTGGGATATATCATTATAAAACTACAAGAAACTGAAAACTTAGAAGTTGTATTGCATGTCAGATTTAGAGACAACTTGGGTTAACTTTTAGTTTTGTTACAATTTCCTCTTTTCATATCATTGCTTAGTACTGCTTGCTTAATTGCATGTATATGGTGGCTTTTCCATAAACATAGAACTGGTGAAGTTTGTAATTACATTTTTGGTTTAATTATTTCATTATAGCTTTAGCATCTATATATTTGCCTATCTTGAAGGATTCATCAAGCATTGAAAGTAATAGCATTGAATGGAATACGGAAGATGAACTTGACGTGGATAACATATCCTCTTCTAGTTCACATCAAGATCAAATTGCAGATTTTGCGCCGGTAATGAACTAAACTTGAACACTCTCTTACTCTTCCTTTTTTGCTGACATTGCTTGCTTACAATACCCAATAAGATGCGTACTGCATTTAACAGGTATGAAAATCTGAGTGTAAACCTTTAAGAACGCAGTTAACGTTTAGTATTTGTTGTCATGCAGTGCTAGCTGGTGCTAAATAGTGGATTCCCTATTAGGATTTGTGATGTTGTTATTTTGTTGTCGGACCATCTGATTTCGTATTAATGTATCTGAACTTGTCAATTCCAGTCGAGTTCTTCTTGTAACTGTCGAGGCTCAAACACCATTCATCAGTTTTTGCAAATGGGATTTTCAAAGGAAATGGTTATCAAAGCAGTAAAGGAGAATGGTAATTCTTGCTTTCCTGATTTGAGCTAATAGGGTTTCTGTGCATTGGAAAAATCTAATTCAGTTTAGTTTTGATATTGTCAGGACAAAATGAAGGAGCAGTGCTGGATGCTCTTTTGACATATAAGGTAAGCAACTCTTTGCTCTCTCTAAAGTTACTTGCAGCACTTTGTCAGTCTTGCATATGCATAAGCATCCAGGTGTTTTTATTGTTTTTTAGCATCCACTTATGCAGGCTGAGACAGATCTCAAGTAAAGATCTATGACCTTTTCATGGTTTTTCTTTAAGCTTTTCGAGGCTGGGGGATAAGCTATGTGTCGATAGTCCAGAAAACTTGATGCTGTGACTCTGTATCAGAAGTTGTCTTTGAAACATAATTTTCTATTTCAGGAAAATTTATTCAATTACTCTATGTGTTTAAAGTTATTTCTTAAACGTAATTCCATTTTCACAAGATGTGTTAGTATATATCTTATAACATAGGGGAATCAACAATGTTATCATGTAGATTAAAACTGAAGGTAAAGTATTGCTGCTCGCTAGTTTTGAAATTGCATAACAGTTCTAATATCTTAAATCACCTAGAATAATCAGTTGGTATGTGGTTATACAGCATAAGAGCACTAGTATTATCCTTTCACTTCTGGTTGATAGACCTTTTTCAATTGCTTATCCTCTATCTTAGACTCGTCGTCAAGCTGTGACTGCCAAAAGCATGATTTGACAAAGCTAATATGCAAGTAAAATCTTTCCATTCAGCCTTATAGAGTGTGTTCATAATGCACATGTACCTGAATTGCAGACCTTTGAGGAATCACCAGAGGATGAGCAGGTCCTTGTTGATCCATGCCATGCTGAGCTAGCTAGCAATGTCTTGGATGTCTACCCTGATGAGGAAATTTGTGAAAACGAGGTGTTTCTTTTCTTCTGTTATAACATGACTGACTGATGTTACTAATAAAATTTTGTTACCCTGTTATTACAAATTATTGTAAAATTAAAGAACAATGGAGTTCAGCTTGGAGTTTCCAAGGACTAATTAATTGCAGGCCACGAGTGGACGCTTGACAATTTAGCAATTTCCTGTTTTGATAGTGCTCTTTTACATGGATAGAAGTATATGCTGATCTTTTTTCTCATTCTTTTCCATTCAGGAATTCAAAAATCTATCAACTGAAAAGGACAGAACTGTGTCTCTTCTAGTTGAGATGGGCTACCAAGCTGAGGAGGCTTTGGCTGCTATTGATAGATGCAGTTTGTATTCTATGTTTTACTTGTTTGACTGTTTTATGTCTATTTATATTTTACCCCAGGAGCAAAATGTGGGGGTTTTATCCGAACGAATTGTCCTTAAGAATGGCACTTCTGAATGATGAGTAAATTTATAAGGTTAAAAACTTCTGTGCTACTGGATTGGATTTTGGAGGTCATGTAAACTTTTCTCTATTGGGGGTTATTTGATTTTTGAGTACCTTGTCCATAATAAACATCAACTGATCCACCAGGCCTAGACACCCCAATAGCAGAGCTAGTAGAGTTTATCAGTGCTGCTCAGTTTGCGTATCATACAGATGCTCAGCTTGGAGAACTGTCCTACGACAATAAGATTCATCAGCACCAAAAGGTATGTGTTCTCTTTCTGAGTGAGCTTACATGCTCAAGTGATCTCAGGTTTCTGAATCAACTTTATACGATGTTTCTCGTTGGTTTCCCGAAGTTGAATGGACCTGTTTACATGTCAAAAAAGAAGAGGAAGTATTATGACAATGAAATGCAGAAGCTCCAAAAACAACGCAAGTATCTTGAGAAACAGCCAATGGATCATGATAATGAGATAGTTCATCTGCCAAATCCCATGGTAGGATTTGGAGTCCCAAATCAGCCATCACCTGTTTTGTTTCAAAGAAGAATTCCTGATGAAGCTGAAGGCCGGCCATATTTTTACTTTGAGAATGTCGCACTCGCTCCTAAAGGAGTTTGGCACACAATGTCACGCTTCCTATATTACATAGATCCTGAGTTTGTAGACTCAAAATTCTTCTGTGCAGCTGCAAGAAAGAGAGGCTACATACACAACCTTCCCATCGAAAATAGATCCCAACTCTTGCCCACCCCGCCTTCTACCATACATGAGGCACTTCCGCATACAAAGCAGTACTGGCCTTCTTGGGACAAAAGAATGCAGTTGAATTGTATACTGACATGTATTGGAAGTGCAAAACTCACGGATAGGATAAAGAAGGCAGTTGAGAAATCGGGTGATGATGAGCCTTTACCCGGTGTTAAGAAGTATGTTATTCAACAGTGCAAAAAATGGAACTTGATTTGGGTTGGAAAGAATAAGGTTGCACCACTTGAACCCCATGAAATGGAAATGCTAATGGGCTTCCCGCCAAACCACACACGTGGTGGAGGAATTTCTCGCACAGAACAGTATACAGTCCTTGGTAATGCTTTCCAGGTTAGCATATCGTAAAGTGAATATTTTGTGTTCCTTGGTTTTTACTTTTTACTAAATAAAGTCTATCTGAACTATCTGGATTTTTCTGTCAGGTTGACACAGTTGCTTATCATCTTTCCGTGTTGAAGAGCATGTTCCCTGACGGAATTAGCGTGCTATCACTGTTCTCTGGAATTGGTGGAGCTGAAGTGGCATTGCACCGGCTTGGGATTCCCCTCAGGAATGTTGTTTCTGTTGAGATATCAGAAACTTGCAGAAAAATACTTAAAAGTTGGTGGGATGAAACCAATCAACAGGGCAAGCTAATTCACTTTCATGATATCCGAATGCTCACTGCACATGAGCTAGAGAAATGCATGTCGACATTTGGCGGTTTCGATTTAATCATCGGTGGGAGCCCTTGCAATAATCTTGCGGGAGGCAATCGGTCTACTAGGAATGGGCTTGAAGGTTCAAAGTCTTGTTTGTTCTTTGAGTATTATCGGATCATTGAACTTGTTAGATCAATGATGAGGCATCGTTGAGGTGGATGTAATTTTTCCCGTGGATGCTTGACACTTACTTCTACACCTTGTGATAACAATTTCCTTGCCAGAGGATCAGGGCTTTATTGTCCAGAGAGTGTGGATGCAAGTACCTCTTTTGTCTTTCACACTTGTGTTGAGGAAGGAGTTCTGTAGCAGTTAATTACTGGTCAATACTGTTTCTTATTTTTGCTTATTACGTATGGTAGAGTCTCTACCACTAGGTAGGTGATGAATGCCGTTCGCAGATTGTGCTGAATTTCGGTAGCTGGTAGCTACCGACGTCTTCGTACATGTTTCGAGTTTTCGAGATCCGTCAAGGGGAAGTACAGGTGACTCCGACAATCTGCAAGTGCAATATGCAGAAATTAACTCATTCTCGAGCTCATTGTCTTTTTTAAGATCAAATAAGGAAACAAGCAAAAACCCGCAGTTTCGGAAACTGCTATTAGTTCCGTACTGGAAGGATAACTGCTGGTGCTGCTGCATTACACGCGTATTGATTTTAAAAATTTCTGTTTTTCTTTTGAGGAGGAATGTTACAAATCCTTGAGTTGCAGTTTGAGCTCCGAGATGCAATAGAATGTTGTTCTGACTCTGAAATTTAATCCTTCAATTAAATTAAACGGTAAAAGTTTTTCTTTCAAACTTTCCTGCTCCTCGGTCGTCAGTCCCTCGTGTGAAATTCAAAGGCAAGAATAGCACATGAGACAGGAATTCTCATTAACATTGATTTATCTTGCATCAGGCTGAGAAAGAGGCTGCTTACAAAGGAACAACAGCATATGAACCAAGCAAAACAAAAGGATGAGACTCAATTGGACGGGAAATGGTTAGTAACCATTTCCCAAATCTGCCCCGTTTCATGATGAGACTCAACCGGACGGGATCAGTGTCAGATGGAAATCCTTTGATCCCACAACAATGGATGCTCATCCATAGAACACTTGATAGTTTATTGCTCTTTATTTTATATAGTTTTGGGTAAAAAGGAGTTTGAGAAAGTTCAAGAATTTCGACACGAAATTCAAGGCCAAAATAGGTACACACTTTTATATGCCAAACTGCATCATGAGCGGGGCAGCGTTGGTAGATAATTTTCCACTATTCAAGTGTGTGCATTGGAAAGTTAAAAAGAGGCCAAAATTGGCATAATCTTCATGAAAGTATCCACTGGAAATACCAAACTCTATCACAGCTCCCACGATGACACCGCATGGTTTCTCGCTGTTAAGGTCTTTTATTGGATATTTTCAAGACAGGTACACCTGGACACTAGCAGTTGTAATCAGTTGACATACAGGACAAACATTAACTAATCCTTCACAATCTTTACATAAGCAGAGGTGTCTACAAGGCATCAATAGAACAGACACCTCCTTCGCTTTGCATGTCCTGCAAATCATCTTCCCTTTCGCTGCAGTGGACTTTCCAGACCCACCGGGAACACTGAGGTGGTAGTTTGGATCTATGCAAGAGGCTGCATCGTCATTGTCACTGTCACCAAACCCTTCTTTCCCTTGGTCAGCAGCGCCTTGCAGGGCTTGTTGAAGGTTGGCTTTCAAGATATTGACGACTGACTCATTGTACTTAGCCCTATAGCACCATTGTTGAGCTTCAGTCGCGACTTGTTTCATTCTCTCAGCGAGTTCCCTGTTCTTGCGATTGATGTTCTCTAACTCGATATCTTTCTCTTGTAACTTCTTGCTGACACCTTTCTCTATAGCACTTAAAAAGGAAGCCATGTGTCTCTTCTTCATGTCCCTTACTCCTTTGGCAAGATATTCCTCCTGTACAAAAAGAAAAAAGCATGCGTAAATAATACATCCACATATACTGAATGCAAGAGAGTAAAGAATCCAAATGAATAAACAAGTTAACGAGGGCTAATGATATTTTTAAGGCATCATGCTAGCATGATAAAAATTAACACACAACAAAGTAAAGAAACACTCGGCGTCTTAAACAAACTTTTCCTCCCAAATCCATCATCAGGTTTTTCCACATGGGCCACAAATGAGTGCATATTGCGTCTTTGATAATTAATCGGGTAAAAACTTTACCAGGAACCTGATCAAATTGTTGAATTAAAATGGAAATACTATTCCTCTCCAACAAAGAAAAACAAACAAAAGAGAGAGGCACTTCACAAACTGCCATGGTCATTTATGGTTCTTCACTTACTACAACCTGGGATGCTCAAAATATGGATCAACTAAATTTTGTCTCCAATAATAGCTATCCCTCTCTGCCCCTGTCAAAACTAGATATGATAAAAGTTTCAGAATCCATATGTAATTCACCAAGATGATTCCACATTCTGGACAGAATGATCAAACAGAAACAACACATGCTGGCAACAAAACTAGGACTGGATCAAGTAAAGTTTCAGTTGAAAGTGGTGGAGTTCATCAAAATTTAAAAAACCAAAATGTAAGAAAAGTGAAATGTAGACCGAGTAGCCAAACAATGATGCTGAGAAATTCAATGTAAAAGCGAGAATATAAGGTCATTAAACTATCCAGCATAGGGGAATAGCAAAAGCCTAAGCATTTTAACCTATTTCATTAACTGAAACAGACAGTGGCCTGTGCAGAGGAGGAGTCCAATAATACCTGAGCTTTAATATACTGATCAAGTTCTTCTTTCTGCCGGTCAAGTTCCGTTCTGATACTGTCACCAGCTGACCAGATAATTGATGATGCTGCTGTCATACTTCCACTTGCTGAGGTTACAGAAGAATTACGTTCTTCATCGTCATATGATAACCTTAAACCAGTTGATACAGGATTCTGGTTAGGAATGCGTGCCTTTCGATCCACTTCATCATGATAAATGTTGTTATTCAAAGAAATGTGAAGCTTCTGCTGACTTGCAATTGCTTCTGCTTCCCGGCTTCGTTTATTAGGCCGAAGAAGGGTAGCATTATGCTCATTTCCAAAATAATTTACTGGATCAGCATTAAATCCATAGGACACTGTCACACAAAGACAAAATGTAAAATGCTCGTCAGAATTTATTTAAGAGTCATAAGACCAAAGCGTTATAGAAGGTGATCAACAACTATACTTACAAGAAGATATGTAGCACAAAACAACTATTGAAACACTAATAGAGCTACATGGAAGAGGGAATTTTCAAACTCTCCTTGTTGTCATAGGTCATAGTTAATAAGATTCTTGAGCACAAGGTATCCAAAAGAGAACTCTTATCCATGATCAGATATGCAGTAACCTACATTTTCTTCTCCTATAAACAAATTTTAGTATCTAACTGGAATAGCTTTGGTGTACCCCGCCTTGATATTCCAAGAAAGTTCTCCAAGACGATTAATATGTTATTGGCTTCTTTTTCACTTACAACTAAGTCTACTACATGATAGTAACTAATATGGGAATACTGGCAAGCTATGCAGAAGTAGAAGCCATCAAAGACCATTTACTTTGATGATTTACCAAATTCAATAATTAGTTGGTAAGTCAACTTGTCTAATTAATGCTTATGAATATCGGTTACAAGGCAATTATTAGCGAACCAGTTCTTGCCAATGCCTAAATAAACTACCAGACATGCTATATGTGGCAGTATTTCTTCACAGAAACATGCTTCACATTGATGAAGATGGCTCATCTAATTACTAAAGACAAATTTAAAAAAAAAAAAAAAAAAAAAGAAGTCCAGGACTGACAGTGAGACAACACCACCATTAACTTCACAGACAAGATCCAAAAAATAACAGTTTTGCACAAACTGAAAAAGGCTAATTACAACTTTGCACAGAGATATTGAGGATTTATATAGACATTAAGAACCAAAGTAGCAAGAAAAAAAAACAATAGTTGTGTTTTTTCTAGAGGACATTAAATACATCAAACCACCAATACACAAAAAATATCTAATTTACTCACTGGCTACAAGAAAATTGAAAAAAAAAAAAAAGAAGAAGAGTATCTTAAGGCAAATATCATGCTAACTTCAACAAGCCACATGCAAGTGAAAGCTCAGAAGTTTGAGATACTGTCTACATCCATTATATACTCCACATAGAAACAATTGAATAAACAAAGTCAACAACAACAAACAACTAAATTTATAAAAGTCCATCAACACGCCACCCCCTCCCCCCCGGGGGGGGGGGGTTACCAGGGAATTACTAAAAGCATGTAAACCCAGGTAAAAAATCAACATGGCATCAAATCATTTTGCAGTCAAAAGAGTAGGCAAACTGCACAAACTGTCATACTTTGCCAGTCACATAAATAGAAACTCACAGTTTCCAAATAGCTGTAGCTGATTTGCTGCAGTAGCAGGGAACTGAACACGACTCTCATCAATAAAAACTGGTAGCGATGAGTTACCATTATTTTCTTCAAACATTTTTTAGGACCAACAAGTAATTCACCAGGATGCTCTTTCGAATAAACAAAATTTATGATGACCAGCAATAATCTACCTGCAGAAAAAGAAAAAATAACTAATGCTATACAGAATGCTGATTAAGTTGCAGCAAATAGAATGCTGATTAAACTTCTCTGGCAGCACATTTTCCACAACAACAAATTTATAGAGCAAAAAGTCAGGCAACAAATCAAATTCCCGAGAAAACTGCCATTGTCAGTGCCCCATTTTCTATATAAGCACATCACCCATCTCATCAGATGAGCTTAAAAAATGGCAAAACCTGGAATTCCCCATGGCATCGCTACATTTACATCTAGATCATATGCATGCAACAAACTCAGCAGTTAAAGATCTTTTCTCTCTTTTTTTTTTCCCTTTTAAGGTTCTCTCCACAGCCGCTTTTTTCCAGTCATCATACAATATACTAGTACAATAAAATATACAAAACGGAACCGAAACTAATTTAAACACTACAAGACAACAAAATGGTTCATTTGTAGCAAATCCTTTCTTCAGATAAAATCACGAAAACAAAAGGCCAATTTATTATAATCAAATCACAACTTTTTCAACAGAAAATGGATAGGAAACGGAAAACGTTGATCTTCAGAAATATTAAGAAAGAAATATAACAAAGCTCCGCAGTGGTTAAAAGATCTATTCATTATCTGTTTTGGCTACTTCCCGCAGATTAAATAGAGGAGGGTTCTTTCAAAAAAAAACTACCTGGAAGTCACCTTTAGGGAGAGCCAACAAGAAATTCAATCCCACTCAAAATCAATCCTGCAGAATCCAATCACCACATTCAGAAAATGAAAAATAAAAAAGAACCCACTTGGAAAAAAAAAAAAGCAATGCAATAATCAGAAGGAGCATACCCCAAGACAAAACCACAGAGAAAAGGGCGGTTCTGGAACTAGAGAAATATATGCTGTAAAATAAATGAGGAAAGGGAGAGCGGAGATGAAGAGAAAAGGATGAGAGTAACGGATGGGGGAATGGAATCAGAATGGTTTTATCATTTATTGGAGAAAGAAGAGATGGAGAAATAGATGGGATCAGGAATATACATGAAAAAGAAAATGGATGATAAATAAATACTAGTAATTATTTACGGGAAATGTGAGGACGAACAGGAATATGAAGAAGAAGAAGAAGAAAAGAAACGGAGGGGGAGGGGGAGGGGGAGGGAGAGGGAGAGGGGGGGGGGGCGGGCGGGGAGCGCTGTGGAGCGGGCCCAAGAGCTGAGGAGGCAGGCACTGGCGGGGCATATATGATAAATTTTCTATGCACGCATTCACCGAATTAAATTTTCCGGAATCACGCTAACGCTTGCTGTCACTGACTGCTCATCTACTTCTTCTATTATTCATTCTCCTATTCTTCTATATATTTTTTTTATTATTATTAATATTCTACCGGCCATTTTAATTATCATGCCTTCGATTAGATTCGTCATTAAATTATGAAATAAATAATTTAAAATATAAATCTCTATCATTATTGAGAGGTAAAAATTAAAATGATGCTCCCCTAAAAATTGATAAAACTTTCTTCATTTTCCTGGTAGATTTTGTTCTTTTCTTTTTTTTTCTGGTAGTTAGCAATCCCTTTTTCTTTTTTTTTTCCCCTTCTTTTGGATGCATATTCATTCATTCTCTCTCCCTCTCTCATTATTCATTATCTTCCCCTCCCTCAGCCTGACTCAGCACCCTGCTGTTGCTGCTATTATTAATTGTCATTCCAATCTACCCCTCCGGTTTTTCCCACCACCACCTCTACCAAGATATGGTATGGTCCGAAATTTTGCAATTCAATAATAGGACTATACTGTCCCTTGCTGCTGCATCACTTTTTTTGTTTGTATTGGTTTTCTTTTTTGGTGAAAAGGTTGACTAGGAAATGAAATTGTTGGGACTTGGGACTCGGGAGACGTGTATTTAAGCTGTCAACACTTGATTCTTCAGAAAGAAAGAAAGAAAAATTAGAAGTGTGAGAGCCTAATTTGCAATTCAAATAATGTACTACTAGTAGGTAGAGGGTGTCCTACTTGCGCCAAATGATGGAATTTTGATTATCATAATCAACAACCATGAGTTGAGTTATGCTTCCAATCACAACCTAATTAATTTCAAGAAAGAATCGGATGCGCATTAAAGACCCACAAGTCATGACCATAACATTTGCACGGTGGTGGAACGTATTTCCATCTAGAAATATGGGCGTAGTCCTTAGACAAGTATTCGGATTGACAAATTTCCAGCTTTCGGTGGGATTTTGATGCTGAAAATCTTTGTCAATTTTGGTTTAAAAATGGAAAATGAAATGATTTTTCTTGACATGCCTTCTTTATTCGTCACCTAAGTTGTATTTCAACTCTCGCTGGGGTTCTTGATTTCTAAACAAGAGATTTGCTTAAATGAGTAGTTAGTAGGTTTCTCCCGCTGCATGATGGCACTGCCATAAAGGTTGAAATGTAGAAGCGACGACCGTCCGTAAATTGACGACGTATTATAGACCTTCATTACCATAATTTGTGTGAAAGGAATGCCGCACACGGCACTAATCACTCCTGCTTTGTGAATGGTGCGGTGCATGCATAACTTTTGAATAAGCATATCGATTGCTGCACTTAAAGAGATAATTGCAAATTTGATCCTTAATATTTGGCTTGTGTGCTAAACGAGTTTCTAAAGTTTCAGTCAAAACAAATTTAGTTCCCACAATTTCTAATTTTGGGCAAATTTAGAACAATTAACGGAAAGTCGTAACAACTATCAGTCAAAACTAAATTTAGTGTTAGTCAAAAGTTTTGACTTTACATTTTTAGTCCCTAGTGTTTGAACTTTCGATCAATATGGTCCCTTGAATCTCAAGTAGTCATAATTAGGAGTTTTAAGATAAAATAAAATGTCAGTTGAATTAAATCTATTAAAAATGTGTTCCTAAATTCCTACAAAAATTTCATGAAAACAGTTTATATAAATCATTATATTAACCCCAAGGAGTGTCTTCTTGTTCAATAAGTTATGATTAGATGACAATATGCAAGTAATATACAAAATAAATTTACTCAAATATAAAAGGGAAATTCTAGTTTTAATGTAAAAGTTTATTATCATGACTACTACACAAACTCTTTGCATGACTTGTGGACATAGGCCTCAAATTTGCTGTAGTTAGAAGTTGTGATTATAAAACATAATCAAGGTGAGTACCGATATGAAGTGCTTTTAGGAACTTTTCAAAACACTTCTTTTTGTTTCTTGTTGTCTTCCTAACTATTAAAATCTAAAGTTTCAATATTTAGTTTGGTATTCATGCACCTTGATATTTATGAGTAATTCTAATAATCTTATAAAATATAAACTTCATTTCAAATTCAATTGACAACCCAATGAATACAAAAGTAAAAAAAAAAAAAGTATCAACTTAATTTACTTATAATATATATATTTCACATCCTAAAATGATTTAAGTAAATCGTTTGATTATCACTAAAAGGTAAAAGAAATGATAGAAATTATTATCAGCTAATTATTTAATAATAATTACATATATTATATCAAATTTTAGACTAATTATGCAAAAAAGAAGAAGTATATGAGAAAATAATGGAATGAAAAAAGCAATGGAATAAAAAAAAAAGAAGAAAACGAAGTTTAATTGGAATTCTTATTACCCATTCGCTTCATTCTAAAAGTCTCGATGGTGCTATTTAGATTTTATGAGGCTATAATGATTTAATTTCCAAATATTAGGGGCCTAAAATACAAAGCCTAAATTGTTGACTGATGGCATTTAGATTTTGACGGTTAGTTAATACTGAATTTTTGTCAATTGTTCTAAATATGCCTAATATCATAAACTTTGGAGACTACATTTATTTTGATTGAAATATTCAGGACCAATTTGACACGCAGACTAAATATCGGGGTCCAAAACTACATTTGCATCTCCCAAAATTCTAGTGGAGAAAGTGCAACCTTCATTATCAAGGAGTAAACTGGTCGTGTCGTTGGACTTCCAAAATTAGACTTAGATAAATCTTCCCAACAATTTTGTTTACTTTGACTTTGCGCTAGTTCTCCACATTGATTCATATTCTATTCGTAAAGAATGAGCATATGATAGCACCACATCTAGTTATTGCTTATCCAAATTTCTCCATCCTTGTGCGGAGAACATTTTAGGCACGCCAAAGTGCAACAAGCTCATTCCAAAACTACTAACTAGGAATTTTCTTTTTAATTTTTTTATTAATTTATTACACACGAATAATGTGCATATTATCACTGTATTGGAAACATAATAATTAATTTGAATTTGAATTTGAAATTCAAATTATACGTATGTATTATGTATCTAATCTTGATTTGATATACATTATTAGTGTATATGAGTTTTTTTTTTTTTTTTTTTTGGGTTTGGAGGATAGTTTTCTATTTTATGAGTAACTTTTTGCAATATGCCAAAAAATTGGTGACCATAAGCATCCTTTCCATGTTCAAACGTCTTGCTGAACTTGCTTGGGTCAAGGGTAATTTGGGCACGAAATTTGGGAGGGGGAAATATCAAATATGGAACGGACCCGTTAACCCAACACAATAAGGCAAGAAACGGAGCACAAAGTCAGAAAAAGGGTAGCCCAAAGTGGGTGCGGGAAGATGCGGGGTCCACGTTCTCCTGCACCAGCTTTGCAGTTGGCGGGTAAACTTTGGCGGGTGAGCAAACGACGAAGTATTGACCCCGTTATACCCGAAAGTGGTTGGCTAATACGCGGACCACCGGTGCGACTATTTTTGTGCATTCCTGCGAAAATAAATGTTCCAAGTGTGAAATATCAATTCAATGGATATATGAAAACAATCTGACAATAATGCGGCAGTTGAAGACAAATAACATTTCAACCTACCCAATTTGATTGATTTAGTTGGTTACACAAATAAGGTAGAGTAATTGATGGGGAGCGTTGGGCAATTTACATATATATATATATATATATATATATATATATATATATATTTTTTTTTTTAATTTTTTTTGGGTCAGGGAAGAATAGTTTATTCTGTTATATTTTGTTCGAGTTGGCCCAAACACAAAAAGAAGAAAGAAAATCTAATTTGAGCCAAAATGGATGCTAGTGCTAATTTGTGATTATCTTGTGGTAATATGGACTATTACTGTATTTCTATTTTCTTAACGTGAGGATTATATATTATTAACACCTCACCAATGCACTTAGACGGATAAGTGTGTTTTTATCAGAAAAGGCGGATAAGTGTCTGTGATAAAAGAAGACATGTTTAATGCTAAAATCATGTTAATTAACTTTGATACAAAAAATATTTACGTATTTTTTGGCTACTAACTAAGACAAGGAGTATTAGTGCCTTTCCGCATAAAAATTTATGGGCAGTTTAACTTCATGTTTATATTTTTTTAGCGGTGGTGACTCGTGAATGTGTAGTGGTCATTGGCTGTAAATGATTCTTTAATGTTGAAATTGGATAATAATAGAAATCAGAAATATGAAGGTAATATTGACCTCATAATTAAGTAGAAATAAAATTAATAATATACTTCATTCCGAGGATGCAAGAACATCCCCCAAGACAAAAAAAAAAAAAAGAAGAAGGAGTTAGATTTAGATAACCTAATTTTAATGTTTGGATACCAAAATTATTCTAAATAATATTTCGTTTGCATCACAAACACATTTCCCAACCTACCTTTTTATATTCCCAATCACCTTTTTATCTCACATACATCATATCACAAAAAGTGCTACAGTAATTATTTCAAATAATACACTATCCAAACAAATTTTTAACGTCAAATTCATGAATCAAATGAAAATGGCAGTGTTCCAATTTGATTGTTCCTCATGGCCACTTTTTGGTTTTTGAAATGAAAAACTAAATAATTGTAATATTAATTACTTTCTAATCCAGCGGCTAATCAAAAAACTTGAGAATTAAGATCCCGTGTAATCACCGCTCCAGGCGACGAATCTGAACGAGCTGGCACAAGTCAAATTGACTCTTTCCGCAACACGCCTACCGGCTACCGGTCGCATCCATCAGCCTTGACCTTATACTCTTATTGTTTCCATTTCCGAGGCGTGGGGGCGGCGATTGGCTTTTAGTTTTGTTCGTTCTTTATTTAGGTTGCGGGATTCTGCTAGAGCAATTTGGTAGTAATTTGCACCGTATTCCCCATTGAAAAGTGGACGAGTCTAGTTTCTCAATCTGACAGCTGTTATAAGTGTCAATTAAGATAGCCAAGGTCGCAGCAACATTTGAAATGATGATTATTCGTAAATTTTTTAAGGATTAATGTTAAATACAGTTTCGTAAAGATTGTTTTACATAATTAGGTATAGATATATGACACATGGATAAAAAGTGAATTTAAAATTTGAACAATAATGACATGGCATTGATCTAAACTTGTTTATATAAAAAAAAAAAAATTTTTGCACTAACAGTATATAAAAATTAATCCATTTTTTTAATAGTATCTTGACACTTTGCATGATATAATATATGTGAGAGAATAAGAAGATGATTAAAAGACATAATACGAAAAAAAAAATTCTAAATAATTATACATCCAAACGGCCTCTTGTAAATTACTTCCTTGTACTTTCACTGATCAGCATGTCTCTTAAAAGATTGTTCGTGATAAAACTTGGATAAGGAACTCAACAATTAGTGCTCTAATCGTCAATTGAATTTAGCGGTGCCAATTAATCACACAACTCATTTATGTTGAATTGCCCAAACTCATCTACTAATAAGTCAAATTGGGTATGTAATGAATTTTAAATGAATCTAAATGGGTACCCAATTAAATCCATTTAATTGGTGAAAAATTGGTTGATTCAATTCACCCATTTACATCCATTTAAAAATAATTATACATTTAAACTCAATTTTTAGTAGATGTTAAGCAGATAAATTTGAATTTTCTACTAATCTAATAGTAATAAAATGTCATTATTTCTTGTCAAATAACATGACAAAAATTTTTTTTTTTAAATGAGCCACAAATGGATCATTGAGTATATATATACCCAAATCTTAAAGAATTAATCTTTCTTACACTGATAGTGTATATACACTATCAGCGTTGGATGAATAACAACTATGTAAAATTTGAATTTGAAATCCAATAACAACTATGTAACATTTGAATTTGAAATTCAATTTTTACACATGTATTATGGATCCAACGGTGATAATGTATGCACTGTCAGCGTATATAAGATTTACTCTTTATTAATTGGGTATAAATGACTTGAATCATTTTGATCAATTTATTTAAATGAGTATAAATAGTTAACCCAATTATATCAATCATCAATTATGTTCCGTTCAAATCCAGTCATATCAATCATCCAATGTAAAATCAAGTCCATATTCAAAGAAACGATTCAGATGTAATTTGCTCGATGATTCGGCGTTGCCGGCTGCTGCTCCGAGAAAATGGGCAGCAAGTAGAAGGCTTATTAGGCTGCTTTTCTGCCGGCTTTTGAGGTTAATTCTGGGATTAGGTTTATAAAACAACAAAAGTCTGATTCAGGCTGTTGAAAAAAAAATTAGGCTGCTTTTCTTGATTATGATTATTAATTCATGAACCAACTAGAGGCCATTCTGTACAATGTGGACCGGTTCGCATATTCATGGCAATTCAATTACGTGGGACCAAATTTGGGGCAGCAAAGGGCGTATGATGTCTCAAATGGGTCTAGCCCCTAAGGCCTTAGCTCGGCCACGAAGGCAAAGTCGTCATCAAAACTCATCTTCAGAACTTCCGAAAACCTCAACGCACTTCGAAGCAATACACTTCTCTTATCTCTTAAAGATGAGGTGAATCTCCTGTTTGGATTTCTTGTGCTTTTTTGGCCCTTCACTTGGATATCTGTGGATAACAATTTCTCCCTCCTATTTAATTAACTCACTACAATTTCTTCCTTTCGTCTTTTTTCCAGGTCGTTATGTACGAGTTTTATTCTTCTCAACAAATATCTACTACCCCTCGCAGTTTTCTTCTTTTAAGTCATTCCCTCTTTTATGGAGCACTAGTCAATCCACTGTGTTTTGTTTTGTCTATTTCCAAGTACTTGAAGGGGAATGAATCCTCACCATCATGCTTCTCCCTGTTTGCATTGCCACCCGCACAGCTATATTAGAATGGTATGTTTGATAAATTGATCATCTTCTTTACTGGCATAAATTCACACTCTATTGACGCATGCGGGTGCACCCATGAAACGACCAAAAAAATCATTTTGCGTTTGTTTAAGTTTCAAAGTGACAGGACGGGATCCCACTAACCCAAAATAAACAGTTAAAAAAAAAAGTGACTAAAGGCTGAATCTTCATTTGCCAGTTTGTAATTACATGAAACTAAATGGATCATCTTACGAAACATCTAATTTTGCAGGTTCATAGCCTAATAGAGAGGTGTTTGATGCTTCACATGGACCGGGATCAATGCATTAAGGCGCTAGCTAAGCATGCAAGAATTCAGCCCCAGATAACCCTAACAGGTGTTTCTTTTTCTCGTCTCTCAATCTCTTCTTAGCATGCAGGGGGATGGTACAGGATCGGATGCATTACTAGTGTTGCATGGCTTCCTTAGCACCTTCATATCTGCATGATGCAATTTTTCATCCTTGGCTTGCATTCTCTCTCTCTCTTTTCCCCCAAAACTGGATGACGAGATGATCATTCCATTTTCTGCTGACCTACACATGGCTTTCTTACCCTTTTCACGCCTCAGTGTTATAGGTTACATGCCTAAGTCAGCACTTTCTGCTTTCTGATGTCAAATTTTAGCGCTTTGTGAATCTAAGCATCATCTTAGTCAGCTACTTGGCCACATACACAAATAGCATTAATTTACCGTATATACGTCCATTTATTGCAACTTATTTGGATGTGTTTCTATATACTCATGGATGTTAAAGGAAACTGGGATGTGCTTTGCAGTGTGGAGAGAACTAATGAAGGAGAACAAGGAATTCTTTCGAGCATATTTATATGCCATATCTCCAAGACCCTTGATAAGTAAGCTTCAAACTCGTATAATGTAAATTTCTTCGATCGAACAGCTCAAATTAATTACGCTCGAATTATTCATGTTCATAGTATGTTATAAAAACTTACGGCACCTTGTACTTATCCCTTGATCAAATGATCTCAGTTCGTATAGTACGTTTCTCAGATGGAGGTGTTCACAAGATTCCGAGGTTTGGAAGAAGGAAACTATGGAAGTAAATAGATGATCGCTTGAAGAAATTTATAAAAGAGATAATTCAATATCTATGACTACATGATACTATGCATCTATGGGTCATCAGTTTGACCGTTTTCGCCGCCCCAAAAGTATACAGCTAGGGCTCTTATTGTCTAGCTAATAGTCAAATCATTTCCTTGTTGCTTACTATCAGTTTATATATAAGACAGCATATTTTCTTAATCTCTCTGTCTCTCCGGAATTTTAGATAAATTCTGAGTGAATTTCGTTTACATGTGTTAAACAAATGCAACAATGCCAAAAGTACTATATATGCTAGATTTGACAGGGTGATAGATCACCTTTCTGATGGATGGACAATATTTATAAAGCAGAACCATTACATGATCATTTAAGAGGTTAATTTCAACCTCTACGGTTCAAGGTAAAAAAACCCTTATTCTCATGATTCACTTGAATAGCAAATGCGATGCTGCAAGAAAGACCAACTAACAAGAGATGATTTTGCCTCTTGAATAATACTTCAAGAAATATTAATGTCCTCTTCCAAACAACTGTTATTTGCCCGAATAAGATGCATCGAGGGCTTCTTTCCCGAGAAACAATAGCTTTCATGGTGTAGTTTTGAAACCTGGAAGTTTAATGCAAAACAAATCAATGAAGCAACTTGTGTACGATAAATTACCTCAAGCATCTTGGCCAGTTATACATGTTCCGATTTAGGACATTTATGGTTATATGATCATAAATTCACCATCTTCGTAGACACAGGAATCCAATTTAAAATCCAAAAATAATCAATGCCATGAAAATAACCCATCACGTGCGTATTTCCTGTAGTCAAGTCCAGATTGATAATCATGGTAAACAATTTCCTTTTTCAACAAGCTCAATCAAAGCGCCACTCTTTTTTTTTTTTTTTTAGTAGCCTTGTTGAATCTTGACGGTAATTTATGTTGATTAAGGTATTAAAAAAACTTAATTGCATGAACTGAAAAATGTAGAAGAAACTAGCAATGCAGTTTCTTTAGAGACTAATTATGATCGAGAGAAACATGTCAGGGTTGTTAAACAATTTTGTATCAAATTACCTCTTGAAGACTGGAATGATGCATCATCATCTTTCCCAGCTTGGCTCTCGCCTTCTTTCTGCAGACCAAGTGGAAGATGAGCCCACTGGGCATGGTCGAAACATGGAAATATTTCAGTTGAATGTTAAAAAAAAAAGAAAAAAAAAAGAAGCTAACTAGACCTTTCCTGGAACGAAGTTGTAAAAATAACTTACACTTTTAGCTGCCCTACTAAAAGCTTGCTTGTGAGTCATGGTTGGATTTATTGCCTTCAGTCTCTGTATCTCTTCCCTGAAATTGTACGTGTCAACATAAAACGCCAAATTCTTGATCCAACTGATTCCCTTGCGTGCCTAATTTTACAGTTCATTTAAAAGAATCTTACCCAATGAAGCGATTGTAGGCTGATGGAGCACGTTGTCTTTTCTCTGGGGCTGTTGAAAACATGTCAAATGTAATCAAAATAATGCTGATCATATACATATAAACAGATTAATCTTGGGTTGAAAGATTCGAAGCCAAACAATTTCAGTTGATTAACGTACGCTTGTTGATTGCTTGGGTTTCCCCCTCTTCCTCATCGGGAGATGAGACAACGTGAGATGGAATCTGCATGTCTAAACCTTTATGATCATCAGCATTAACATCTGTTTCCTGGGGGCAAACTTGTGTTGTTGACTGCACAAAATTGGACTAGCTAGAAGCATGAGTTGAACGACATTGAAAGAATGATTTTTGTATGGAAACTTTCAATACCTGATCAGATTGATCGAATGGAGCGAAGAGATGGAGAGGGAGAAATGAGGCTCTCGTCATGTTTACTGAAAGAAGGCTAGTACAGTGGCCACATCTTACTGTTACCACGGCTGATAAGCTGCTATATGGTACATTCACCTGCAGTCATTTTTTGTACCAAACAACGTTTATCAACATAAGTAGATAACGTCCCACCAGCATTCAGCCAAAACTTTCGTCGTCCTCTCACGTGCCCGGCATGTGGATTGGAAGTATCATGTTGTTCGCGCATCGCGCGTCAGCTTCCCATCTGGTTTCGCCAGCCAGTGTCCCATGTGACCGTCCGTCCTTCTTTCTATGCGTCTGCTGCATTTGCTTTCTTCCCGCTCCCTTCTCTCTCCAACTGCATTTACTTCTCCCCACAATGTTGCTCTGCCACTTACCCGCATGCTCTGGAGCCTGCTGCAACATTTTGTTGAGCTCTGGTATTCGGTTCTCCCAAGCCCATAGCCTTCTTACCGGCCAAGGAGCTGCCACCTTCGCTGTCGGCTGCATCGGTACAGATCTTGTGCCGTTCGTTGGCCTCTCCTCCTCTTTTGTTGTAAGCTCTCTTCTTTGTCTTTTATTTTCCTTTCCAGTGAGGTCCGATCCTCTCTTCAAGTTTCCTCTGTTCATTTTTTTTCCCTGGCATTCCTATTTTTTTCCCTTGTCCGGTGACGTGCAGCTTTCTGTTTTTTTGCTCGGTCACTGTCTTCTTTCCGCCCAAGGAGATGCCATCTTCGCTGTTGGTTGCAGCTGTCCGGATCTTCTTCCATTCGTTTGGATCTCTTCCTCTTCCTTCGTTGTAATCTGTCCAGTCAGCTTCAGTCCTTGCTACAAGTTTCCTTCTTTCTTCTTTTTTTTTTTTTGCCTGGAATTCGTATGTTTTGACGCCATCATCGCCGACCTTCAGTCCCAGCTTCAGTCCCTCGATGCCTCCCTTTCCAACGCTTCCGACAAACTCACCCTTGCTGACCAAGAAAAGATCCGATTCTTATAACCAACCCGACCAAGTGAGCACTAATAAAAAAAAAAGGAAAGCCTGCCAGTCTATATTTTTACAATGAAAGAGAAATCCATGACCCGTATCAGTTTTCCTATGCCTCGCTCTCCCTTTTTTTCTTTTTTTGTCAATTTAATCTATATCTCAAGAAAGACATGGAAAATTAAGTTCATGCTTCTGAATATCATTGATAAGCTCTCTGTGTTCGTAGAAAATTCAGCCCAACTCTTTGTGCCCGTTTGTCTAACCTCCTTTCCTTGCTTAAGCATGTCACTCATCATGAATATGAAGTCGAAACAGCAAATGGAAGAACAATTACAAAAAAAGGAAAACCAAAAGTACTGTAATGTTTGCGGTATGTAATTTTGATTTCTGATCAGTATGCATTGTCGTAGGGGAACGATTCTTTATGTGTATATTTCTTGGTTATGTGTAATTGTCTCTATTACTACAGGACCCAGGCAGACATAAAAAACTAGAGACACCAAAAGTTGTTACACCTAGAGCTGTTACTAAGGTAATTAAACAATGAACTAGGATAAATTTTCCTTCTCAGTGTCATCATGCTGGTTGTTTTAGCTTTTGATCTTTTGTGGAGTGTCAGTCATGTCTCACCCAACAAGAAGTAGGATTTTTGCCTATTTTTGATGAATGGGGTGTACTAGACAGACAATAATCGTGGTCACAAAATTCTCTTACCTTGAAATGGTGTTACTCTTATTCATATCATTTAGGATTAAGTTGTGATTACTAATAGATTAATGCAATGAAACAGAGCAATTGGTTAACCTGAGCAAGGTAAAGTAGAAACAAGGAGAAATTTAACTGTATGTGATGAAGTTTGTCTCTGTACACTGCAAGATGCCTTGTGATTACGGTCACATATAATTTTATGTTATGTGTGCTGACATTTGTGATTGGAATTTCATGATAGGGAACAAAGGGACAAGTTCATACAAATTCATCTAATATAGGTGATCTGTTTTCAGAAGGATCTCTGAATCCTTATGCAGATGATCCCTATGCATTTGATTAGAGGTATCCCCGTTTCATGTTAGTTCTATTTGAATTGCAGTACTTTAATTAATGTGCAGTTGACCTTTCCTGTATTGGGTTAATAGTTCACGTACTCGGGTGCAAGATTTACTCCATAAACTAGACAATTATTTTTATTTTTTTTGCTACTGGAAATGGAATGGGACAGCTTTTGATTGTTAAACATTTTCCTTTTTATTAAGTATGAAGTGTTTGGGTCGACTGTGAAGAAGCCAGTGCAAAAAAAAAAAAAGGATTTGTCTACAAAAAAGGTTGCTTCTACCCACTGATTATTCTATAAGATTTATTGCATGCATTGTTTTCTATGTCCTGAGCTACATTAGACGAGGAAACTTTTTTAAACGTTTAGCTTGTTCAATATTGATTAGGTATAATGCTATGAGATCATTTTGGTAAATCTGCAGTCTGGCATGAATACTAAATGTTCAGTTGTTCTTGATACTGCTAAGGAGCTGTTTCTCTTAGTTAAGTTGTTTGTAGTATCAAATCACTGCTGCATCTGGATTTTGGCAGGAACTGTATCATGCAATAGAAGGCTTTGCAAATGGAGGATGAAACTTTTTAATTCTAGACATTTTAGCACACAAAAAATGTACATTGCAACTGTAATAATGTTCCTTCATTGATAAACAAGAATTAAATGTTTGCATGTGTCTGAAATGCGAAATTGCCTGTTTTCGTGGCTCCAAAACTCTTATCTGGAAGTTTGATTGCTATAATAACACAGAGCTCTTGTTAAAGATGTATGGCCAATATTGCATTCCCCTCTGCATCTTGATTTTTTGTGAAAAGAAATTATGTTGATTTTTCGTGTCACTTTTGTTTGTGCCTCCAATCTTTTACCCCAACGGTATCGTGCCACGTGAGAAAACTAAAATCAATTGAGGGTGTCTTGTCAACATATAAGACTATTTGTATACCTTGGTTGAGGTCAGGGAATGTATGATTTCCCTAGGTGCATCGTGGATTTGTTATTAGTTATTAGTTTTTAAAAACTCTATGTATTCCTTGGTTTCCTTTTTTTTGGTGGTTAATGTTATTTTTGTTATAGAGCATGGATCTGGCTCACTTTTCATGATGATACTGGGTGTGTAAATGTTATTGCATTAGGTGTCGAAGCTAAGAAGCTGATTGGTGTTAGCGCGCTTGACATGTTTGAGGCTGCTGACGATGAGGTTATGTGTTGCTCTATTCTCATGCATAGATACCTGAACTTGGAGATTGTTCAACTATGTAGCCAGGTCATTTGGATTTGTCATTAATGAACTTTCTTTTATGCAATTTAAATGGTCTGATTTGTGTACATGGATTCTTGAATTGCCACTTTATTTCGATTCAACCTTTTTGCAGACCTTTAAGTTGTACCATCGTGTGGCTTGTCGAATTGAACTGACCAGGCTCCTATGCTATTTTAAGCGTTCATCCGATGTGATCAACAAAGTGACATGCACTAAATACGCTGTTGTTGCTTGCTACCCAGTTTAGAGAGGTTGTTTTTGGATGCTTATTTCTTGTGCTATCTTGTCAGCTCGTGAACTTCTTTGAGCTTGTAGTGGCGTCGGTATTAGTTTTGAGGCTTATATGCTATTGATACTAATAGCATTTAGTGGTTCTGTTCTTTTTAAAAAATTTTCTTTGGGATGCTTTGTTATGCTGCCAGCTCAGAGCCTTTCTTCTTGGGCTGAGTTCTTAGGCAGCAGTAGTATTTGGAATAGTGATATGTAGACTATAGACCACATGTTTGTTACTTAGACGATTCATTCACTGGACAATTACTAAACTTTGTTTTGTTTCTGCGTTTCTAAAGCCTAGATCTTTGTATAGTTCTTTAGCCTTTGGAGTTTTAAGCAACAAACATTCCTTCTGTCCTAGCTGTTACTTTTGTTATTCCAACTTATTACATCTAATAAAGTCAATGTCCTTTTTATTTTCAAAATTATATACCTGCTACATATGTTTTATGGGCATCCATAATAAATTATCACCGCGCAGGGCGCGGTTCATGCCTCCTAGTTGAACAGAAATTGGTGTCAGTTACAGGCTCCATGTATTAACTATTGAGCATACCAGTAAAATGGTGGTGCAATAGCCACATTGAACGTAACAAATTTGTCCTTGCAAATCGAGCAGATGGTTGAGAGTTGACATGGATCTTGTCTGATGAGCTTCGTTTTTCTATCCTGTTTTTTGGGACCCTTTTTTTTGGGGGGGGGGGGTGGGGAAGAAGTGGAGGCTTCTGGCTGAATGTAACGAGCAAATGACAAAGGAGCAGAATGAACAAGAAAAAAGTTTTCTTCACTGTCATCAGGGTAAATTTATATAGGAAAGAAACAGCTATCTAGCTAGTGGCAATACCATGCACAAATGACTGTTTTTCTTCCATGTTTAATTGTGTTTATGCTAAAAAGAAAAGAAATGTTTAAACATGTACCATTAAAATTGACCAATTTTGGCCGTTCCTTAGCCATATTAAAGCAATCTATTGTTTTGATTACCATAACATCATGAATTATCAGTCTTATTGTGGTAATAAACAAAGGGCCATTGGACTGGAAAGGAAAACCAAGGCCTTTCCACACCTTTGTCCTTGTTCAACTTCCTTCAGACTTGAAAACGAAAGTGCGGACTGCAGTTAATTTTTACCAGAGTCGTGGGGCATGGAGAGTTATAGAACACCAGGTGAAAAAGGAAAAAGGAATCTTATATTTTTGTCTTTCTTCAGATACGGTAAATATAATTGACTACGATAAGAACTTCGCTCTACATTCTGTGCTCTTCGTTGGTGTTAACTTTAATTTGCCATCCTTTTCTCTCGCATTCGCACCATTAATTAGGTCTCCAAGTGCCCTCCACTCACGTTCCTGATAAGGTCACGTGTATGCACATGACTCTAATTGAACAAAGAATTTTGAATAGAGCTGCTATTGAATCTATAAGTAAAAATTTTAGGGTTAGAGTTCAATCTTGTCGATCTCTTTAAAGTTGAGTTTGAGTTCAAGCTCGAGTTTGTTTTACCTTACTTGAGTTCGAAGTCGAACTCAACCAAATCAAACTTAATCGAGCTCAATCGAATTCAATATAAGGCTCAACGAGTATTCAAATTTTGATTTTTGCTACTCAAATTCGACTCGATTATCTTGTTAAATAGGTCGAATTCGACTCAAAATCGCTGAAGTTCAAGTCGAGCTTTTGATTGAATTGTTCACAAAGTCGAATTGAGTAGTTTGGTTAATTTACCGCCATTGTTCTAAATTTGCAGATGCCTCCCGATATACCCTATTAAACATTGAATATTTCTGCTTAAAGTCCTTCTCTCCCCTCTAAAACTATTTTAGTTACTTCATCTCTTCAAATTTAGTTTCAAACCATAATCTTGTATTACTTGGATCATATTGGCTTAGTTTTTAATGTTCACTATATTTAACTTCTTATCCAGTAAATTGCTATTATGGCAACTTTGCCTATATTAAGTGCAACAAAGAATTTGCATTTGACCATATCCTTGACATCCTAATTCATAGATGATCTTTTGGCAAAAAAATATGAAATTTATGGTTAAGAGACCATCAATCAACGAAATTAGTGATTATGACATTGTCATAATATATTATATTACTTTTTTGATATTTATAAGGCAAAACTTTCAAGACAAGAAAAAAGGAAAATTATCCCACCTTGAGTCAACAAAATTAGCTTTTTTTCTATAAATTGTTTGTTTTGCAATAAAATTTTAGAAAAAGACAAGGTCAAGGCACTAATTCCATCGAAGGGAAAGGACACTAAATACGTGGGAAAGAAAGTAGGAGCGATCAAGTGGAAGGAAAGTATATTTTATATATGTTGTTTAGATTTGATGTGCCAAGCAAAGAAGGGAAACGATAAATTTTTTTTTTTTTTGGGGTATACTTTGAGATTGGAGAAGAAATAATGTGATCATGTATTGATTAAAGACAAGCTCTGCCACTTTTTAACGAAAAACCCAAATTCAAACAAGCGAAAATATGATTCCCTTCTGTCGTTTCATTTTCCTTGACCAAACATTAATTGAAACACAATCCTTGTGTTTTCCTCCTTTCCATTCCCTTGGCTTGCATTCCTTCAGTCCAAACTCCAAACAATGCCTAAAAGCGAAGATATTACTACGCCTATGTCTCCCTCCTCCCAAACGTCGTAAAGATTGACGTTGGGAAAGCACACGCCTTTAATTGCCCTCTCATTTTCTAATTTTTTTAATTTGTTCTTTTATCGTTATATATTTATATGCTCCATACACGATGTCGTTTTGAAGCACCACTATCAAAAAAATCTCTGCAAATTTCTATCCTCTCCTTCTCCTCCTGTGCAGCAAAATCAGAACAAAAGCTTCTTCTGTTCACCTCCTCCGCTCGCCTCCTTATACATATGTGTTTGTATATAATTTACCATGGCAATTCTGACTACATTAGCAGGCAGCCACAACCTCTTTTCAAACTTACCAACCAGCGCGCCACCAGCGTCACGCCCTAATCAATCCCCACCGCCACCACAGCCTCCCATCCCGATTCCCAAATACCCACCTCCATTAAAATCCAGAAACTCCAAAACCCACCAAAAACCTTCCCCTAAACCCGACCAAAAGAGCCCAACTTTCAAGACCCCTCACAGGAACACCAAGTACTACAAGCCCATCAAGCATGGCCAAGTCATCTCCGCCGACGGCGACCGCTCCGTCATTGTCGGCGAAAATGGTGTATCTTATCGTCTTCCTGGAGCTCCATTTGAGTTCCAATTCAGTTACTCTGAGACCCCAAAGGCTCAGCCTTTAGCAATTCGAGAGCCGCCTTTTTTGCCTTTTGCCCCGCCCACCATGGCGCGACCTTGGACTGGGAAAGCCCCATTGAAGAAGGCCAAGAGGAATATTAAGCTTGTTGAGCCATCGGATGGACGAGTGAGAAGAAATGATGATAATGTAGCTAAGCATTATGAGATGTTGAAGGCTTATGAGCTGGGGAAATACAAAGTCAGGCCTAGAGAAGAGGTTTTGGGAAAGCCATTGACGAGGGACGAAATTAGAGAGCTTTTGAAGCCTTGCATTTCCAGCAACAGACAGGTTAATTTAGGTAGGCTCCCTTTTTTCTTTCTTTTTTTTTTGGTTTATTTGAAATTTATTGGCGATTAATATAGTCTAACAACCATCTTAATATAGCTGCATTGTTGATTGAGATAGTCGAACACCACTTTTTGAATCGGGCAATAATGTCTTGTAGGTGCTGATAAGTTTCAAACTTCGAAGTTCAGCATTTTTTGGCTGAAATAGTACTCTGAAGCTCTAATGCATAAGCTTTGAATCTTGATAGACTAAGCACAGTTTCCTTCCTGACTTGACATAGTACGTACACACGAAAAGCCTGAATACTAGATTGTCTTGTGGCGTTTGTGCTGTTTTATGAGTCTATATGATGATTTGCAAGTTTGACTTTCGTATTATCACGTAAAGTGCTTTTTAATTTTTCCCCTGGTGATTGGGGTTGTAAAGTCCTCAAGACTAAATTTTGATTCATACCAAATTATGTAGGTCGGGACGGCCTCACGCATAACATGTTGGAGTTGATACATACACATTGGAGAAGGGGACCTGTTTGTAAAGTTCGGTGTTTAGGTGTTCCAACTGTTGACATGGACAATGTGTGCCGTTGTCTCGAGGTTCTCCATCTACCATGCCGTTGAAGTACATGCATCTACATTAGACATTTGGATGTTTAGTTGATGAACTAAGTTACCTGTCTAGTAAATACTCTAGATACATTTAATATAGTTATGTAGTTAATGTTCCCCAAATTGCTACCAGGAGAAAACTGGTGGAAGAATCATACACCGTGTCGGTGGTGTGGTCTACATTTTCAGTGGCAGACACTATAACCACAGTACCCGTCCTCAATACCCAGTGATGCTATGGAAACCAGCCACACCTGTTTACCCAAAACTCATACAAGAAGCACCAGAAGGTTTGACAAAAGAAGAAGCTGATAAATTGCGAATGAAGGGGAAAAATTTACTCCCAATATGTAAATTAGGTAAAATATTTCGTAGATCTGCTTAATCATTTTCATTGTTAATTGTTCTACATCTTTATTACTGCATGATGTTAGTGGCTTGGAGTGTGAAAGTGGATATTTGGATGGTGCTTAAATTGAATTGCAATGGATTTCATGAAGCATTGTTTTAGCTAAAATTTAGACGGTTGTTCATATTGGCTACTCATTTGGAGTTAAGGATGTATGCTTTATGTTTTTCCTGGCCATCCTAACCTTAGTCCTCCTTGATATTCCCGATGTACATCATCAAATCATCACTCAAAATTCAGCCTGATTTAGATATTCCTCCTCTCATGGTGGTCTGTCATCCATTAGTTTGCTTCCCCAATCCTACATCTTTCTGAATAGAGGTTTTGATAGTCTCAGATTGATGTCATTTGATTCTTTCTTCTTATAGTTGTTTGGTTGGAATTGCAGCAAAAAATGGGGTGTATGTTTCCCTGGTGAGGGATGTCAGACATGCTTTTGAAGGATGTGAATTAGTGAAGATTGACTGCAAGGGTATGCATGCAAGTGATTACAAGAAGATTGGTGCTAAATTGAAGGTATATATGTGTTCTGGCCAATGTGATTTTCCTCCCTTAACAGAAGAGGAAGATAAAGTCTGATTGGGGGCTGCTGGGAAGTGTTGTAATTCACATTGAACCACTCTCTCTCTCTCTCTCTCTCTCTCTTTTGAGAAATTGCATGTATATGGTCCATTTAGCCTAAAACTGTTAAAAAGCAACCTGCCACCTGGAAATTCAGTGGCCACATATATATCTGCCTCTTTGAAATTATCTTTGCACAAGATACCCTATCAAATACCTTCAGCTGTGAATTGATGTAAGAATTGTAGTACTGCTATTATATACGCAGCATCCGTCCTATGTGGAGTCTTTTGCTTATCAGTTGAAAGAAATATTTTGCTTGTCAGTACAAAGAAATCTTGTTTATCCTACATGATATCCTTTTTAAAATTCAGCTCCTCTCTTACGACATCACTAAAATTTCTATCCCTTCCAAATACAGGAATTGGTTCCCAGCATCCTGTTATCCTTTGAGGATGAACAGATATTGATGTGGAGGGGGAAAGACTGGAAATCAATGTACAGAAATGATGCTTCAGGTCTTAGATCTGCTTTCCATGGTATAGCAAATAGCATGACTTCTTCAGGTAAGAGTTATGGGCGTTGCTTCTGCATCAATTTTTATTTTTTAAATTTATTCTTAGACAGGGCAAATAAATTAATGTAGCTTGATTTCTTTGTAAGAAAGTGTGTGTTTGGGAAAAAGAAAATGGAAGGATAAAATAAGAGAAAAAGATAAAGATTGACTTTCAGTCTTTTTGAGACCTTAACTAGTAAAATCATATTGAAGGCAGTGGAGGATACTTTTTGACATGATTAAAGAACCGAACTTGCTTTGGAAATGTTAATCTGTTTGGTTTTCATTTCACGTTCTTCATTCTGTGCACACTGCTATTAACATTTCTGTGCATTTTCGTTAGAAAAATCTGTACGGATCAGATTGAAGGTTTAGTGATGACACTGAGAGTTAAATATCGGGAAATGAAATTATCCTAGCGCCTTACTCTGACCACTGAAAGTACCAATCTTGCTAAATTTCCCACATGAAGCATTGAACTGTGTGTTGGATTTCAATTCTTCTAATGATTAATGGAGGACCATATTTCTGCGGTCTCGTATCTTACATCCTTGACGCTTGTCTTCTAGATTCTGGAAGTTCTGATCTTCACAAGTCCGATGGTAAAATGGTGAACTCAAGCCCTAAAATGATGTCCTTGTGGCAAAAGGCAATTGGATCGGGCAAGGCATTATTGCTAGATGAGATTGAGCTTGGTCCGGATGAGCTTTTGGAGAAAGTAGAGGAATTTGCGAGTATTTCACAGGTGAAAGAGCACTCATATCCAGCCTTGATCGCGACTAATGGAGTTGCTATTGATCCAGATGGTGATACAGAGGATGAAGCCGACGGTGAAGATGAGACGGGTCCAGACAGTTTTGACGACTCATTTGAAGCAATAGAATCGTCAGTTCCATTAGGATCATTACCCATTGATGCAATTACAGAGAATTTCAGCGACCCTGACGAATACTTTTGAAGATTCCCCCCATGTTGTATATCGTAGAAAGTAATAAATTATTTATAAAATCTCACGTCCATGCTAATTCATCATCTCAAGTCTCGTGTGCGTAGAGATAATCTGAGGTTGTACTTGTACAGATCAAGAGTCCAGAATGCTTGCTTACGAGTCATGCCCAATGCGCATGGCTGGTGGAAGGCGTGATCCGGAGAGCGAGCGACCAAGCCACGCCTTTACAGTGTAGTGTGGTACCCTCACGAAGCTAACCTAAAATTGTAGCCCAGCCCACGTCGCCGGATAAATCGTGACATTTAAGGCCTCGGAAGCTCGCGCCTTCATTCGTCTACCCGTTGTGTAGAAGCTAATTGAAGCCCTATGATCAAAATCACATCACAGTACATACACTTCTAACGTTTCCGAAGTTGCAAAAACAGGTTATTTTGTCCATAATTGCAACTCATTGAGTGGCAGCTTTCCTCAAACTAAAATTTCGTTTGCACCGTTTGAGATTACAAAAGCGATGTTCTTGTTCGCTTCATATTTTGCAAAACCTGATTATGAAAAATGATTATACGAATAAATTACGAGAACCAGGCAACCAGCAAAAGCTATTTTTGGCAAAGTATGGATTTCATTTATTTTTTACTATTTAAAAAACCTATAATTTAAATACAAAAAACAAATGAGAATATTAAAATGAAAATTTGGTTGTTCAAAATCAATGGCTGCGTTTGGATTGAGTGTTTTTGTACCTGTTTTTGAAAAACTGTTTTTCACATTTCAAATGTTACAGTAAATGTAGATTTCAAAAACAACTTCAAAAACACCATATCCAAACCATATATCAAAAACAACTCCAAATATATTTCAATTATGTATATTTAATATGTATATTTTAATAAGTATATTTCAATTTGTATATTTTAATTATGTATTTTAATATGTATATTTCAATTATATTTTAATATGTATATTTCAATTATGTATTTTAATATGCATATTTCAATTATATATTATATATATTATATTAATATAAATATATTTATTTCAATTATGTATAATATTATATATATTATATCAATTGAAATAAATATTATATATTTATATAAATACATTTATTTATATATAAATTTATAAATATATTTATTCAATTTTGTTTTATAATATATATTAATATGCATATTTCAATTATGTATATTATACATAAATTATATTAATAATAATGTATATTATATATATTATACATTTCTAATATTATATATTTATACATACATATTATAAATATTTTATTTTATTTATAATATATTTTTATATATTTATAATATATTTATATAAATATTATATGTTATATAAATTATATATAATATATAATATATTGTACATTTATATAAATGTACATTTATACATATTATATAAATATTTATGCATATTTATAATATACATTTATATTATGTATAATATATAATATAATACATTTATAATACATTTATACATTTATATTAATATACATAATATTAATTTTACATTTATACATAATATTAATACATGTATACATTTATATTAATTATATTAATACATTTCTACATAATATTAATATATATTTATAATATATTAATTTATACATTTATATAATATTCATTTATAATTTATACATTTTTAATAATATACACTTATACATTTAAATATACATTTATATTATGTATTATATATAATATAATACATTTATACATTTATATTAATATACATAATATTAATTTTACATTTATACATAATATCAATACATATATACATTTATATTAGTTATATAAATACATTTCTACATAATATTAATATATATTTATAATATATTAATTTATACATTTATAATATTCATTTATAATAATATACACTTATAATTTATAATATATTTACAATATTCATTTATAATTTATACATTTATAATAATATACACTTATACATTTATAAATATATTTATATTATGTATTATATATAATATAATACATTTATATATTTTTATATGAATATATAAATATATTTATTTATAAATATCTATAAATGTATTATAAATGTATAAATGCATAAATGCATATTTATATAAAAATATAAAATTATAATTTATAATTTATACATTTATATAATATTCATTTATAATTTATACATTTATAATAATATACATCTATACATTTGTAAATATAAATGTATATTTATATAAAAATATAAAAATTATATATTCTAAAAATACTCAAAAATATGTTTCAAAAGTACCTCTAAAAATAATCCAAAAAAATCTACAGTAAAAGTTTTTCATATAGTTTTTGAAAAACAACTAATCCAAACGAACTTGTTTTTCAGATTCAAAATGTTACAGTGGTGTTTTTGAAAAACAAACCCAAAAACAGCTAATCCAAACGGAGCCAATACCTTTAATCAATTAAAAATTGTAAATTGATGATTTACCAAGAACAAGTGCAAATTGATCTTTTACCTAGATATTTTTTCACCTCTTACCACCCGTCCTATCCTCCTCAGCTGTCAAGCACAAAATTCAAAAATCTGCTACTTTTAACTAAATTACATTTGTTTGTTGGTCCACCATGAAAATTAAAATTAGATTAGGATGCAAATGTGTTTGGATATGGATTATTTGGAATAATGTTTTGAAAGAAACATTATAGTACTTTTTTAATGCGACATACATTTGATAAAAAAATAATTGAAAAATATATTGATAACGCAAACAAATAAAGTTTGATAAATAATCTATCGTCCAAACAAATACACACAATTCCAAACGCAATCTACTAGCTATTTTTGGATTAGCTGTTTTTGGGGATATTTTTAAAAAATTTTACTATAGCAGAGTTTTTAGAGTATATTTTGAGATATTTTTAGAAAATATTTTGGAATATTTAAGAGTAGTAGAGTTTTTAAAATATATTTTGGGATATTTTTTAAACATTAAAAAATTTAAATTACTTTTTAGAGTGTTTTTTAAAGTATTTTTTAAAAATTTTTATGATATTTAAAAAACTGAAGGATCCAAACACGGCTGTTAACGTGATTAGTTTATTGGTTGAGAAATCGGATCATGGGAGGCTGCCAGATAGATTTGATGGTAACGTAGAACGGTAGAAGAGCAGTAGTTCTGATCGTAATAGACTCCTACTTTAACGTCTCATAACTAACGCGGACACGTATTACGACTGCGCGCTGCGCCGGGTGGCCATTGCATTGCATTGCCATTCAGAACTTTCTCCGAAACTCAGCTCGGTACGACAAGACATCCCTTTGATGCGTAAGGTAGTAAAAATCTCACTGATAAAGGCTCTCAATCAGGGATTGGAGAATGGGAAGCCAATCCGAGAAAGAGAGAATTGATGTATTGAGAATTAGGGAAAGGAATACAAGATGAAATACAATAGAAAGAAATATGATTCTGAACTGCCTCTTCCTCCTAGCTCCCCTGCTTTTATACCAATCATGCGCTGACCTTCCTTATTCGTATCCCAGCTGCTCAGCCGACTTTCCATTTTGGTAACCACCTAACAGAATCCAGTTGGCGTAACTAACTTGCATGGCTCTTGCCTGCATGGCCCAACCAATTCGCATGGAGCCATTCCTAGCTGGCACTAACTCTGACGTGGCCTAACTAACTGCACTGACCTGAGCTTTATTTCCACATGGATATTTTAGTCACAACAATACCCCCTCCTTCAAACAGTTCTTGCCCTCAAGAACTGAAATGAGGATATCGCTGTTGGAGATCAAACCAATACTCCCAAGTAGCATCCTCAGGGAAACTGTTACTCCACTGCACCAGCACCTGGGTCGCTGCAGTTCGACCCCTACGCACCAGTCTCCTATCCAAGATAGCCACAGGTTCCATGAGCAACTGACCTTGATCAGTGATACAAGTAGGGATGTGTGGTTGCACAGGTTGATCACCCACATGCTTCTTCAATAGAGAGACATGGAAGGTGGGGTGAAGCTTAACATCTGGGGGAAGATGTAGCCTGTAGGCCACAGAACCCACCTTGTCCAATATCTGAAATGGCCCAAAATATCGTGGAGATAACTTCTGGCAAGAGTGACCCCTTAACGAATGTTGTCTATATGGTTGAAGCTTGACATACACCCAGTCCCCTTGCTCAAAAGTTCGTTCAGACCTGTGCTGATCAGCCTGTTGTTTCATTCGATGTTGAGCTCGATGCAGGTTATGTTTCAATAAGTGGAGAGCAGCTTCCCTTGCAGCCAAACTTCTGTCCACACTATCAACATGGGAGCTGCTTGGAATGTAAGGGACGTGCAAGGGGGGAGGTTGTCCATACACAATCTCATAGGGAGTACTCTTGATGGCCGAGTGAAAATTGGTATTATACCAGAATTCTGCCAGGGGCAACCAAAAACACCATTGTTTTGGTTGGTCACTACACATACACCTTAGATAGTGCTCCAAACACCTGTTAACCACCTCAGTCTGACCATCTGACTGAGGGTGATAAGCAGTAGACAAACATAACTGAACTTTCAACAATTGGAACAGCTCCTTCCAAAAATGACTGACGAAGATGGTGTCCCTATCACTCACTATGGTGCTAGGAAGGCCATGGAGCCTATAGATGTTGTCCAGGAACACTTGAGCAACTATCAGTGCCGTGTAAGGATGTTTGAGAGGAATAAAATGAGCATATTTGCTGAGTCTGTCGACCACCACAAGGACAGTGTCCTTACCATTAGATTTAGGCAATCCCTCCACAAAATCCATAGATATGTCCGACCATACTTTCTCAGGAATCTTCAATGGTTGGAGCAATCCAGGATATGCTACATTTTCAGCCTTGTGCCTTTGGCAAGTATCACACGAAGCCACAAACTGTTCCACCTCCTTCTGCATATTCCTCCAGTACACCACCTCCTTGAGTTTCTTGTAGGTCACCTGTACTCCTGAGTGTCCCCCAATAGGGGAGTCATGCCATAATTTGATGATTCTCTGCCTTAAGTCAGTATCATGCCCCACAACTAATTTCCCTTTCCTCCTCAATTGTTGATGCTGATAAGTGTAGTGTGTAAGCTGGTGATTGTACGTAGGATCTTGCAGTTGCTGTATCAGCAATTGCAGCTGGGGATCTTGAACACAGCTGTTATGGATCTCAGTAAGCAAAGCTGACTTAATGACTGAAATTGGAGCTAGTGTTGCTGCATCGGGGTTAGGCTGACGAGACAATGCATCAGCCACCACATTGTCTACCCCCTTCCTGTATTGAAGCTTGTAGTCATACCCCATAAGTTTCGCCACCCATTTCTGCTGCATAGGTGTAGACACTCTCTGTTCAATCAGATATTTAAGACTCTGATGATCAGTTCTGATGATAAAGTGTCTTCCTAACAGATAAGGTCTCCATTTCTGCACTGCACTCACAATGGCGAGCATCTCCTTCTCATACACAGAGAGGCCTCTGTGCTTAGTAGCCAAGCCTTGGCTGAAATAAGCTAATGGTCTCCCCTTCTGACACAGGACTGCCCCTATGCCCTCACTTGAGGCATCTGTCTCCACTTCAAATGTCTGTGAGAAGTCAGGTAATGCCAGCACAGGTGGGGAGCTCATGACCAACTTCAACCTGGAAAAAGCTTCTGTGGCTTGATCTGTCCAAGTGAAGTTGTTCTTTTTGAGTAGCTCTGTCAGAGGTTTAGCCAGTTTCCCAAAGTCCTTTATAAACCTCCTGTAGTATTCTGCTAACCCCAGAAATCCCCTTAATGCCTTGAGGGTTGAAGGAATAGGCCATTGCTGGATAGCTTGCACCTTTTGAGGGTCTGCCTGCACTCCCTGTCCTGAGATCACATGTCCCAAGTAAGCTACCTGCGTTTGGGCAAAAGAGCACTTGCTCTGCTTCACCTTCAAGCTATGGTGCCTCACAACCTCCAAGGTGATGCGCAAGTGTTTGATGTGGTCAGACTAGGTAGGACTAAAGACAAGAATGTCATCAAAGAAAACCAATATGAACTTCCTCAAGTAAGGTCTGAACACAGTATTCATCAGACTTTGGAAGGTGGAAGGTGCGTTGGTCAAGCCAAATGGCATGACTACAAACTCATAATGGCCTTCGTGGGTTCTGAATGCAGTCTTGGCAATGTCATCAGGACACATCCTTATTTGATGGTAGCCTGACCTGAGGTCCAATTTAGTGAAAAAATGTGATCCAAATAGCTCATCAATCAATTCTTCTACTACTGGTATAGGAAACTTATCCTTTACTGTTGCCAAATTCAACTCCCTATAGTCAATGCACATTCTCCATGTTCCATCTTTCTTTTTGACCAACACTACTGGGGAAGAGAAGGGACTGGTACTGTGTCTAATAACTCCAGATTGCAACATTTCCTGAACCAGCTTTTCAATCTCATTTTTTTGAAAAACAAGATATCTATAAGGCCGTACATTCACAGGTGTTGTTCCTTCTTTGAGCAGAATATGGTGATCATGTTCTCTATGTGGGGGTAGTTCAGATGGTTCCTTAAAAACATCTTCAAATTCCATTAATACTTCATTCAGCTCATTTGTTTCAGAGTCAGGGGTAGAACTGGTCACCTGACAAAGATTAGCTGTTGGTCCCTCTGTTGCTGACTGCACAGGCACCAGGAAACATAGCTGAGCAGAAGCAATCTGCTCTGGTTTGTGTAGAATCCTCTGCATGGTCCTTCTTTTCACCAACTGTATAGCCTGCTGACCCTTGCCCCTTAACACAACTCTCCTTTTACCACTGAGAAATTCCATCTTTAATTCCTCAAAGTTCCACTTGATATCACCTAGAGTTGATAGCCATTGCACCCCCAACACCAGATCACAGCCCCCCACCAGCAGTACCATGGCATCAGTCTTGAAGGTTTGGTTCTGCAACTTCCAAGTAAAACCAGCACACAATGTGTTAGTGGTGATCTTGTTGCCATCTGCTACTTCTACCACCAGAGGTGGTACTCTCTGCACTCTCAACCCCAATTTATTGACTAAATCTGGGTGGACAAAGTTGTGCGAACTCCCACAATCTATGAAAATGTTGACTGGGGTCTTTCCCACATGGCCAGTCACCCTCATTGTTCTAAAATTAGGAATAGCAGTTAAGGTCATGGCATTTAAGGAAATATAAGCCAAATTACCTTGTGAGACTTCACCCTCCTCCTCGGATTCCACCTCTACTTCCTCATCCTCCTCCTCTGTACACACTTCCAATCGAAATAATTGCCTGTTCTTGCATCTGTGGCCAACTCCAAATTTCTCATCACACCAGAAACAGAGGCCTTTTGCCCTCTTTTCATCCATCTCTGCGGATGACAACCTCCTAAATGGTTTCCTGGTGTATTCCTCTGCAGTTTTTCCACCTTTAGCCTGGTTAGGGGTGGGCAGAAGTGCCTTACCATCTCTCCCCCAATTTCGTTCAAAGCTGTTTTCCTTCCTCCAGGGAGTTTCAAAACTCTTGTCTCCTCTCCACCTATCTGTCATATTGGGATGGAAGCCTGGCCTGTTCACCCCCTTCTTCTGCTGAGCTAGAATCTTAGCTTCTTCCAGCTTAGCTAGTGTCCTAGCATGTTGTAGTGTTTTAGGCATGAACATCCTCACGGCTAATTGTATTTCTGTTTTTAGACCACTGAGGAAACAGCTGGTGGCATAATCTTCAGGCAGATCCACCCTGTTCAACAATTCCTCAAACTGCTCCTGGTACTCCAACACTGATCCTTCTTGTTTCAATGCCTTCAGCTCTCCCATCGGATCATCATACAAACAACCTCCAAACCTGGATGCCAACTCCTTGATGTATTCCTCCCAGGCAGGCAATTCCCTGGTGATGCGAGATCTCATGAAGATCTGGTGCCATTGGAGAGCTTTTCCCTCCAAGTTCATAGCAACCATTTTTACCTTCACATGATTAGGCGTCTCATCTACATCAAAAAATTGTTCAATCTTAAACAGCCATCCCTGGAAATCTTCTCCATGGAACCTGGGAAACTCCAAGCGAGAGAAACGCGTGGGGGCTTGATAACTCCTTCCTTGGGAAACTTCATTGTCAGAGGGAGAGTTCCTTGCGGATTCCCCCCTCTGAGAGTGCAACTCCAGTACCAGATTCCTGAGAGCTGCCATCTCCTGCTCGAATTGTTCCTTCTGCTCCTTCATCATGGCCTTGACGCTCTCCTCTAGCCTCCTGTTATCTTGAGATCTAGTACCTTCCGCCATTGTTACTTGAGCTGGTTTTACCCAGCTCTGATACCACTGATGCGTAAGGTAGTAAAAATCTCACTGATAAAGGCTCTCAATCAGGGATTGGAGAATGGGAAGCCAATCCGAGAAAGAGAGAATTGATGTATTGAGAATTAGGGAAAGGAATACAAGATGAAATACAATAGAAAGAAATATGATTCTGAACTGCCTCTTCCTCCTAGCTCCCCTGCTTTTATACCAATCATGCGCTGACCTTCCTTATTCGTATCCCAGCTGCTCAGCCGACTTTCCATTTTGGTAACCACCTAACAGAATCCAGTTGGCGTAACTAACTTGCATGGCTCTTGCCTGCATGGCCCAACCAATTCGCATGGAGCCATTCCTAGCTGGCACTAACTCTGACGTGGCCTAACTAACTGCACTGACCTGAGCTTTATTTCCACATGGATATTTTAGTCACAACACCCTTCTTCGCTCTGGTTTTTGCTTTCTTTCTTTCAGCTGGTTCCATCCAAGGACCCATCAGCGTATGAAACCAAATCTTTCCTAGGCCCGCCAAACCCAACCCAACTGGGGGTCATTCAATTTGCGGGAAGATTCAGATTTTGTACTCCGACGTATTCTTCTTCTCTTTTTTGGGCTCCCCTTTTGTCCTTGTTATCAATCAATCCAATAATAATAATCAAAAGAACCGACAAAATCTTCTCCTAGAATGTTGCATTAGTTCATTCATTCAACAAACTCAAGGTAGAAGAATCTTCCTTTTTTGTCCAATTTTGCTCTCTATCACCCCTTATGGTCTCAAATTTTTCGAGTTATATCGTGCAAGCTCATTTTAACATATGCTCAAACTAGTTATGTATACTGGGAAAAGCTTTTTGGAGTTTTGTCATGGTTAGTTTTTCTTATCAATTCAGAGTATGCTAGAAGATGAAGATGTTCTGCTGTAGCTAAATTTCATCCTGACATCGACTATTTGCATTCCCAAGCTTTTCTTGGTCATAATGTTCTTATGTCCTATATAATTCCTTTTTTTGTTCTTCTCCATAAATTATTAAGTTGAAATTTGAAACTATTCTCTTAAGTTCTGCTGCCTTGATTAAGTTAGTTGTTTTATCCGTAGGTGTAAAAGGAGTTTAAAACATGTAGTAGAGGATGTAGACAAGATGGTTCTTGTGCTTCTCCATGCATGAGGGCTGTTCTTTAATTAAATAACTATGTTGCTTTTTCATGAAACTTTTAGTGTTGGAAAAAATTTAATCGAGATTTTGAATAATTAGAGACCATAACGAACTTCTTACCAGGATATTCACATCACACTTTGGCAACCAGTTATGACGACTGATACGACCGCACCGAGTTATTGGCTGAACTGGAGGTTCTTGCTGTGTGCAATATGGATATTAGCAGCTATGGTAGGTGCAGCAATTTTAATATGGAGGTTTGAAGGTTTTACTAAGTCAAAAGGCAAGCAAAGAGACTTTCAGAAGAAAAAGGTTGGAGTTTTGTACAAAGATGAAGCTTGGAGGACCTCTTCCAAAAGAATACATCCTGCTTGGTTGCTGGCATACAGAGTCATTGCCTTCAGCATGCTATTAGGAATTCTCATTGGAGATGTTGTTCTCCATGGTGCCCGCATATTTTACTTTTACACCCAGTACGATGTGTTTCCATGCTTTTAAACAATTGGAGAAGTCAATCATGTCGAGTTTGCCAGCTATTTCTGTTTGCTGAATGTCCTTGGAATTTGCTACTTTTGTGCCTGTGCACTACTCTTCAAATGCATTCCAAGACCGATTTCCATTAACTGTTTAAACGTTTTTCCACTGTGTCCTATAATGTCTTCTAGAGAAGTGATTCTTCCTGGTTTTCAAAACTTTTTTCCTTAAAAGCCCCTTTGGCTGCAAATAGGGTGCACAAGACATGTTAATTGGTTATCTACACTGTTGAATATCTTTCATCTGCTGTCCAAGGTTTTTAATGCTTTTGGTGCTGGCAGGTGGACATTTACTACGGTTATCATATACTTTGGGGTACGTTACAGAGCTTTTCCATCTATGCCATTCTGGTATATTGCTGATTTTAAGATTATGTGCCAATTGTTGTATCCCCTTCCCAATGTAGTTTACCTGAATTACCTAAAAGGCGACACTAACTTCTGATACTATGTGTTCGAATATGTTGGATGTGTAAAGAAAAGGATACAAGCCAAGAATAAGAACTAGAACAAAGAATGAATTATTCTTCTGTCCTTCACATAGGATACGATTGCAGTCTAACGCGCAAATGAATGTGGATATCAAGATTTTTTTTTTTTTTTTAATTTCGGTTTTACAGTAAATCTTCCTCCTGATGCTTGTTTGCTTGATACTGTAGGCAGCATCTTACTTCTCGCTACATGGATGTCTCCATTGTCACAATGAAATTTCCGGAGCTGATTTTGTTCATTCAGATGCAGAGAAAGGAACTTACGTGGCCCCTTCACTTGGAGAGGATAGAAATGCACACTGCAGTCCAAGAAACTCCAATTCACATGGAGAGCCTTGTGCTCGTAAAACTGCTGGTGCAGGGGGTTATGCCTTCCAAATACTTTTCCAGGCAAGTTTCTTCAGTTTCAATCTTGGCAGTGTACTCTGAACTTGTTTTTTGCCAAGTATTACATATTCTTTTGCACTCACGGCCGGTTTTCCTGCATTTTCTTTTTGGTTTGAGGTGAGGGTAAAATCTACCAGTTTACTTCTTCGTCTAGAAATTGCTTATTTTCAGTTTTTACGTCTTCAATGTTTCTCCTCAGCTTCAGGAGCATAGACATTCAGATTGGACATAAGTTTATTGTGTTAGCGTACCAAGTTTTAATTTAGGGAAATGTATTAAAGTTATATTTGATGGACTGCATAGTTTGGACAAAATTCTTCACTTATGTTACCTGGAGTGTGATAAAATCTACTTCTGAAAACCAGTTTCCCATATTCAACATTGAACTTGATGTGGTAGTACCCGGATATTTGAAGAGTCCAACATAGTAATGAAATCTTATAGTAGGACTTGAAGGATAAAGATGCATGATCACATTCAGATTTTGGACCTCTAGACAGACATGATAAAGCGTGCTAGTAAACTGCAGGATAGTAGGCCTCTGATCATCATCCAAAATTTGGCCTGTTATCTTAATTCCACTGCGTCGTCGCCTCTTTCTTTTCGTTATGTACTGTGACTCATGTGATTTGGTTCTTTGTTCCTGCAGCAATATGCTGAAATCTTGTCTGATCTCTTTACTTTTGCTTGTAGACCTGTGCAGGTGCTGTGGTGCTGACTGACATCGTTTTCTGGCTCATACTCTTCCCAAAAGCGCACAGACTAAATTTTGTGAGTATGGGGTTCTGCCAAAGACAAATATAGTAACAAATACTAATAGAAAATTTCTTAACCAGCTAAGTTGTTTCTAAGATGTTTGGTTATGCTGTTGTTGCCATGAAATGGTAGGCGCGATAACTTTCTAGGTCCTCATGTACAGTATTGCTTCCTGGTAAATAATTAGCACTGCTACAATTCTTTTGTATTTGACATGGGACGGGGCTTAGTTCACTTCCTTTGTACTATTTGAATTGCAAGGTAAAGATGTGCTTTTGCCCACTGCAGTTTAAAGTTTGTATGCATTCTGTCAATGCTGTTGCCCTCTTTGGTGATGTGACTTTGAATGGCCTGGTAATCTTCACGCTTCTTCCCAGCCCCTTTTTTTTTTTTTTTTTTTCCTTCATCCTTCCAAGTTGCTTTGGTGGTTTCTATCTCATTCTAGAATCTCTAAAAACGGTTGTTCGGCTTCAGCGTTTCCCTTCCTTCCGAGTGGCATATTTTATTTTGTGGACATCGATGTTTGTCATTTTCCAGTGGATTATCCATGCCTTTGTTTCTATGCAGTAAGTTAATTCATCTTATTTTATTTTCTGCTCCTTCCTCTTCCATCACCTGTTCTTTATGGCTGGCTAGAAGCCATATGGTAAAATTTTTAAGGAGCATCCAACCGATATATGTCAATGTGGCAGGTGGCCATATCCTTTTCTGGATTTGTCTTCCCCGTATGCTCCCGCCTGGTATGCTCCCTTCCTCTTGTAATTAAGATCTTTCGGTTGCTAGAACCTGGTAGCGTCTTAGCAGGATTGGCCTTTTTGCGGCACCTTTACTGCTAATAGTTTGTTCAAACCGGTTAACAAATGTCGTGAACAAATATTGTACAGGTATTTGGGCGTTGGACTGCTTACAGTCCCATGTTTTGGCATCGTTGCTCTTGTAATCAGGATCAAGAAATCTCTTGTCTGTCCCAGAATAACACTGGAACGTGAGGTGGGATAGGATCGAATCTTTCTTTCCAGCAAACAGGTCTCTCAGTCATTCTTTTAACAGGATATCCACTTCTTACAAGGAAGCTTGTGGATATATTTACCCAATTTTTTTATGGGAAATCGTCTCCCGTTTAGTTTTGTCTTCTTTTTTTTTTCCTTGACGGAATGAGTGTCGGGTCAATCCTTACGGGACCCGACTAATCTCACTTAGGATGAGATGGAGAGGCTCCATCCACTGAATGCATTAACAGCGGGACTCGAACTTTGATTGTCCGGAAGGTCACCGTACCGTAAAGAGGAGGAGCGGACCGCTTAAACTACCCCGCGGGACCGTTTAGTTTTGTCAGATCGGACATTATTAATTGCCGAGTTGAGAAATAAGCAAATGTAAACTTTGTAAACGCTATATACTTTCAAAGTTCATTTGTGTTTTAAACCTTCCACTTGTGTAACCGGTCGCTTTCCATTAAAGCAACGACGACCGGTCATGGAATGGGATGATGCTCAGATGGATTTTCACCTAACTTTTTAAGGTGGAAATTAGTATTAAAAAATCCAAATATGTTAAATGGGAAAATGAACAATTCAGCCATACCCTTATTTTCCTGCATTTTCTTTCACTGGATCCGTGCATTTTAATATTATAATATAAATAAGAAAGGGCTAGTTATTTACTAATATCATCATATCATTTCACTGGATCACTAAAACATGCACGCCCAGATGGCAAATTTTCAGCTGAAATTGGAAAAAGGAGAAAAAATAAAAATAAAACCCGTATTTTTTTTCAAACAAAAATGGGAGTTGAAGTAATTGATTTGTTTCCCCTCAATAGCAGTCAAAATATTAAAAGGTGTTTGGAATCAGACTGACGTGCAAAAGATTGTTCAGCACAGCCCAGATAATCGAATAGAGCCTATGAACAAACATTATTGTTTAACAGTCTCATTATTTCCCAAACTGCCCGATTATTAATATGAAGTTAAAGAGACGAGAAACACTGTGAAACTTAAATCCCAGATTAGCTGCTCAAGCAGAATCCGATCTCCATGAGTTGATCTTGTTTCTGAAAACTTGGCCGCTAACACTCTGGCTCTCCGCTGCCCTTCCTCCTGCAAATCGCACTGATAAGTAAACACGACACGATACTGCTCAGCCCTTTAATTCCAGAATAAATAGAGGGGAAAAGGGTCTAAGTGACGTCAGCCCTACCTGAGTCTTGGCAAACGCTAGGTCTGTCCAAATCGACAATTTTTGGCCCAAGGCGTGAATGATCAAATTATTCCCGTCGACGGGCCGACGTCAGCCCACGGATTCGTATGGGTCCAGTGTGTATCTCGGGCCAGATTGCAAATTGGACACCTAGATAGTTTGGACATGATCTGATCTGGAGCTTCGCCGGGCCTAGATTAACGACCGTAAATAGGTCTAGAAAAATTTATTTTTTTCGCTTAAGGCATTCCAACCTTCCATTCAGATTAATCTCCTAAAACTGTGTTACAACGAGGCATAAATTGGCTAGATTGCAGACTTTAAGCAAATTTGTCTTGTTTATTAAGCGTTACTTCAAATCCAAAAACAAACCAATGTCAAATACCACCACGGGATCGATCGTCGATGTGAATGCACAAGCTGATGGAGCTAAGTACTGTCTTCAAGGTTAGGAGTAAAGAGGATGTCTACGGTGATGGTCCACTCAACTCCACGGTTAGTCCTCCTCTTCTCTCCGAGCCAAAACGGAAGTTGACTTTCTATTGGATTAATGTGGGACTGCGAGAGTGACGGTATTATGAGTCTATGACGGACCAGAGAATGCAAGTATTAGGTGCTGTAGAGCGGCGCGTTATAGTGGACCATGAAGTCGAGCCCAGAGATTTTGAAATTTTAGCACAACTAAATTGAAAAAAAAAAAGAAATTTAGCAATCCACCCAAGACTTCACAAAGTCTATATAGGAAAGTGCCTACACGAGGTGGAAGGAAGACTTCTCGTAATTTAGACTATAGTACTATGAAATATTGTTCCAAACATCAATGCAAAATTTTGTAGAAATAGAAAAGGGAAGAAGAAATTAGGAGGCTTCTGTTTCACGTGCCACATTCACATAGGATTTTAATTGCTCTTGTCGCTATACGTGCTACGATGGATCGCAAATGAATTGAATCAAATAATCGAGTTTCGATTCGATTTTATCAGGAGTTTGAACTCCACGAACATTTAATTTAAAACTCGAGCTCGAGTTTGGCTTCAAATTGAAGGCTAGTCAAGTTTGAAGTCGAATCTAGATTCGAGCTTAAAAAATAAAATAATTATTTATTTTTTTAAAAAAATAAGTAAAATAATTTTTTCTCTTAATAAATGATGAAAATATTAGAAATGTGCATATATAATTTTATTATTAAAATAAAAAATTATATATATTCGTATCGATATACGAAATAACGAACTGAATTTCTCTGTATTGGACTCGACTTTGATAGGTCGACTTGATCGGCCCTCCCCAGCCGATTCGTTTGTAGCTAGCTACGTGCAACTAGGGGTGTTTTGCGAATCGAGCCGCTCGCGAGCGGCTCGAATACGAGCTCGACTCGAGCTCGTCAATATCGAGTTCGAGTCGAGCTCGAGCCAATTAAGTCGATCTCGAGTTCGAGCTCGAACTCAAAAACATTAAGTTCGTTGGCTCGCGAGCTCAATTATATTTTTATTTTTTATTTTTTATTTAATAGTAAAATTACATATATATCCCTAATATTTTATTATTTGTTAAAAAAATTATTATTTTATTCATTTTTTATAATAAATATTTATTTTTTTATTTTTTAAGCTCGAGCTCGAGCTTGATATTTTGAGCTCGTCGAGCTCGGCTCGTTTAGCCAAAATTCGGCTCGAGTTCGACTCGTTTGCACCCCTACCTGCAACATAAAGATAAGATAATAGTAAAAAGTTTTCAAGGCCAGAAACCGTCAGTTCAGTTTCACGAAGTCCAAAGATCTTGGCCCTCTATCTACCTACCGTAACATTTCCACCAACCACCATTTCCCCCCCCCCCCCCCCTTTTTTTTCCCCTTCTTCTAAGAAACGGCATGTCTTTTACATAGTATAATCAACACTGGATACTACAAGACCACTGCATTAATCATACAATAATGCAGCAGTACAAATATTTCCAACGTTTTCTAAAATTCAAAGTTGCGACAACTTCCCCTTGAGTTTCATAGCATATTAGCACTTTAGATAAATCTTTGCTATAGGCTGATGTCAAGAAAAACAAGAATGCATCTTGAAATTTTTTATTTGCAAAAAAATTTATCTCGAAATGTTTGTACAATCTTGATGTGAGCATGTAGAATGAGAGGTCAATCAAAGTAGAATAATTTCTTCCTTTGGTCTGCCATTTTTTTTTTCTTTTGGGATGCAATCTTGGTTTGCTTTTCCAATTAGAGAATGTGATCACGATTGACTTCAATTTAGTTGATGCAGATTTGACCGAATATTTGTTCCAATATTGCCTCCAGAGTATTAGTTTGCATTCCTTTTTTTTTTTTCAGTTATAAAGCTATTTTCCCTAGTCCACGAAAGTGAAGTGTATATAGTAAGTAGTATATTATTATTATTAAGTAGTGAAAGTCGCACAATAAACAAAGTCAACTAGGAGAGGTAGACAAACTAAAGCGGCAATGCTGTGTTGACCGCTGGTTGTGTCCACTCATTACTCTTGACTGCCAATTTTCCTTCTTGGGACAGGAAGCTGGTTATGCATTTCCTTTTCCTGCATTTTGTGTTTACCCAAGACCACTGCTTAGTTTCCATTCTTTTATTTAAAAAAAAAAAAAAAAAACCGAGAGCCACTTTAATTTGATCCGGTACTCAGTAGTCCACATTTGAACTGCAAAACGGAGTAAATATTTTTGCAGTCAAACAAAGCATACATATTGCAGCGTTTAATGGACCAAAATTCAACTGTTCTTTTGTCCATAGTGGACAGGTTAAAAAGCACAATGCTAAATCGCGTAAAGAACTTAGGCCATGCTTGAATTGCATGTTTTTATCGAAAAATATTATTATTTTTCGTAATTATATTTTTTTGTTATTTTTATTTTTCATATATATTAAATCGTTACAGTAATTTTTTCATGAAAAATAACGAAAAATACAATTCAAACATAACCTTATATATAACTTTTCCCTTTTGACTTGTGTGGATATATACACACACATATATATATATAAAAAACCTATCAGGATGTGTTATTTAAAAACATTCATTTGTTAAATAAAATTTTCAACTTTTTCTATTCAAGAACTCTTTCGAAAAATTATCATAACTTAGGAATGTCCTCAATATGGTGACTAGGTTCATTTTTGTTTTCCTCCTATCAAAGGAATTAGTAGTCCAATTAATTAAATTAATTTGAAAGAGGGATGAATTGGACGATTCATAAGAGAGACAGTAAATGATATGTATTGGATTCGAATGCTTTCATTTCTATTTAAAAAAAAAAATTTGTGCAGTTTAAACTCTCGCACTACCCTCAGTGTTAACCTGCGTATTTACTCAATTGCTATTCTACCAAATTCTGTATTATTGCATTTTTTGATAGACTATTAATTGTACTCATTAATGCCTACCACCTGATTCGGTAGGTAGGCAGTGGTGGTTGCCTGCCTTTCATACTGGCCTATGTTCACTCACTTCCCGCGAAAATATAAAGCTGCACTTTCCATTTTTTCCAATTAAAAATCAATTACTAAAAAAAAAAAATTCCCACCTACCTGTAACCAATCATCTATAAATAGAACTATCATTCTTCCAAGATATCCGTAGTTTCAACTCTCTCTGGATATAGCAAATAGTACCAAAATTTGCTGAAACTTTCTTGGGTTCTCTTTCAACGGTAAAGATTCAAACTTTATTTGAATTGGGATTTATTGAAATGTGTTCAGGATTATACTTGTGGTGCTTTTCGACGGCAGATCTGTTCTTTTTTTCGTATCTGGTCTGAAAATTTTGCATTGTGATCTGGGTTTGGGTATTTTTGGATCTAGGCTGCAGAATTTAACGGATGAATGGTCTTTTTTTCCTCCCTTTTTTGGTGGGGGATAGGTTGAGAAGAAATGGCACGCAGGAAGATCAGAGAGTATGATTCCAAGAGATTGTTGAAGGAGCACTTCAAGAGGCTCTCTGGTAATGAATTGGCCATTAAATCTGCCCAAGTAAGCACCTTTTTCTTATAGTACTCGAATCTCTATTGTTTTCTGGGAAGCTGTTGGTTGCCATCTTTAAAAAAAAATGCGTAATGATTTGCTCACTTTCATTATTATTGTAATAGAGTAAAGATATGATATTTATGATACTTGTCTTGGAGAAGCTTTCAATTTTTTTTCAAGGATAGAAAAGTAGCAAACCAAGTGGGATATCAGGCTTATACGGATACACGGTCTAAACTTTAGTAGCTTCATTCAGTTTTATCTTCCAATTAGTGCTGCATTTTGGAATTTGCGTTCAAAGCAATCTAATTGGACAGACGCTAAGGGAATATTGAGCCTAGTATCATGTTTGTGTTCATATTCGTCACCATACCCATTTAGACA